ACACTCCGCTGCCGCTGTTTCCAGGCCGCTCTCCGATCGTTGTATCTACTCGTCACCGACCATAGAATCCACCCGACGACGACGCTGTTTCCAGGCCCGGTAGAGCCTGGTGTAGTGGCTCTGTTGGAACCGCGCCAGGTTCGTGTTGGGCCGGGCTGGTGTAGCTGCGCTGGGTTTGGCGTTGGGCCGGGCTGGTGGAACTGCGCCGGGTTCAGCTTTGGGCTGAGCCGGTGTAGCCACGCCGAGTTCCGCTTTGAGCCTGGCTGGTGTAGCCTCGCCGGGTTCGGCGTTGGGCCGGGCCGGTGGAACTGCGCTGGGTTCAGCTTTGGGGCGAGCCGGTGTAGCGGCGCTGAGTTCGGCGTTGGGCCGGGCCGGTGGAACCGCGCTGGGTTCGGCTTTTGGATTTGGTTTGTTTATTTCAGACTGGTTTTGTTCTTCTGTGAGACGCAGCCGCTCCAGCAGAGTAGAGAGAATATGTTCTTCCTTGATACACCATCACACATCTGATGAGTGGTCATCTCTTCTAATTTTAGAAAAAGATAAATTCAGAGTAGCTGAATCTCAGTAAAATATGTTTTTGCTTTAAATATTAGATCATGGTTTTATTTGATTGTATACTAATTTCAGTGTTGAAAATGTTCTGTTCTTTGTAGCTGTTGATGTTTTTTAGGCTGTTTGATGTTCAAACGTGTCACAAGAAACAGCCATTTCAGGCTTTTACTGTTAAATTGAGTTACACATGAGTGCGCATGTTCCAGCCCACCCATTTGCCAAACAATGTGGGATGTACAAGTCACTACCGGTGTCCTTGATGAAATCACTTCACAAGAAACCAATAAGGAAATGGACAGCAGCCGGCATGCGTTGGTAAAGGGTTAAGTACTGAGTTTACAAAATATAAAACTTGTTTTGAGTGAAAAAAAAGGGTACAAATGAGTTTTGGTGTGGGCATTAACTGTTGAAGTATCACCCTGGCCTTTTACTGTCATCTGTTTGATCATGAGTTAACATGAGTTAGTTGTGATGGAGCCAGATAAAAGAAAGGAAAACAAAAGAAAATGCCAGGAGTGTTTTATGATTTGTTGCATGCTAACATCGAGGACACCTACAGTTTCTCTGCAAGACCAGCTCATAGCAGAGCAGACCCTATCTTGATCTTTCCTGCTTTGCGTACAAACCTTTTGCTAGGAGGCAACCTGCAAGCAGAGGAACTGTGGGAAGGTTGTCACAGGACGCTGTATGCCACTTGGAGAAGAAATCACTGCATGTAGACAATGTCAGCCTTCCCCAATAACAACCCTTGGATCACCAGGATCAAACTTCAGCTGAACAATGAAAAAGAGGGCTGCTCCAGCGACGGTCTGCCTGGGGTCTTCACGCTATGTGAACTTGGGCATTTTGTGTGTCCCCTTTTTCTCTCTCTCTCTTTCTGCAGGTATAGGAGCAGATTCTTATACATCCTTCATTGTTTATTTTTGAGAACTTTCCCCCCACTTCTTCCTTTCCTCTCACCCCTTTCTCTTTAATTTCTGTTTCTATGTCCTCAGGGATTTAAATCATCTGAAAGCATTTCTAATAAAGTTTTGATATCAGGCAGAATCTATAATGCCACCTGTGAGAATAAAACGTTAAGGCTTGTCTTTGGCAATCAGCCAGTTTTGTAAAAGAAGATGACTGCCTTCACAAGAAGCATCAAAGAGAAAATTTGGAAAGATTTTTCCAACCGATACCAGGTACAATTGATTATGTATCATTAATAAGCTGACAGTTATAACATAAGAGGCTGTGTGCAATTAATTTTTTGTCACCTATTAAACTTCTCAGGAATTGATAAGGAATTGGATCGACCTTGGTATTGGCAATAACATCACTATAAATCCCCACCTTTAATTTAGAGTCTTATTTCCTGATATGTGGACATGTTGCCTTTGATTGGCTAACAGCAACATGACTCTACCACTGACTCAGTTTGGTAAATGGCGTGTGTTTGCTTTGCTCTGCAATATTGATGTTTTATCTCCACAAATAACTCAAGCCTGAAGGAGTTCTCTTTGCTACGTCCTTTCTGTGTTCCTTATCTGATTCCATTGTGTTGGTTCTTCACTACAGAGTAAATAGAGCTTGTTGTTGTAAATGGAGCGGATGGAAGTCTGGACAAAGCTAATGAATTCAACACATTCTTAGGCTCAGTTCAGCATCATTTTCTTCAGCCAAACAGATCGCCCACTTCCTTTTACCCACAGCTTCCCTGTCACACCTCAACCATTTAGTCAACTTTTGTCATGGACACTGCTTTAGCAGCTTTCTCTTCAACCTCCTTGTCGCTTTGCCTCATCTTTTACCTGTCTGTCTTTAGCAATCAGGAGAACAGGCAGTTGGAAACAAGGCTGCAGGTCGAGATGTTGTCAAACCCAGAGTCCTCCCATCTGTTAGGGCAGCAACACCGAAGTCTGGGATCATAAAAAAGTTTAAACAATCTGATAAAACTGACCTGGGGCCTCTAGAGTTGGGTGGACAAAGAAGGATGCTTTGTTAGTAAAGAATATGATGGAAAACCTTGAGAATCTTCTTCACGGGATAACAATTCAACAACTGAGTGTCTTAAGTTAGAAGCTTCTTAAGATCTGCTGCAACCCACATCACCACAAAAGGTCCTTCCTGTCCACAGCTATGAACTGCCATATAATGTCGGTTTGAACAAGATCCTAAAAAATTACATTCCTGCTTAGATTAACGAAGTATCTTTGAATCTGAAGTGAGTTAAGCTATTGCCATACTGAGCCAGATTCTGCAGGAGGTTTCTTCCTGTAAAAGGGGAGTTTTTCTCTCCACTGTTGCTACATGCTTGCTTATTATGGGGTTGCTGTAAACTCACTGACACAACAAATCAGTGACTCCAGGCAATTTGCTGGATTTTCTTAAAACTTTAACTGGAAAAATGACCTGAACTCAATGCACTGATAAGTAGATTTAATTTGAATGTATACCTTGTAAATTATCTTCAGCTGACTCTTGTTGTGAAATGACACTATTGAATTGAACGGTCATGTTTGTCTGAGACTACTCTTTTTCAGAGATGTTTTATTCATGCTGGATCCTGAATTATCTTTGGCTATCTGATATTAGGTTTCTTTTTTTTATCTCACAACGTTAATAACCCTTTCAGGCTCAAAATAAGTTTTGATAAACGTACAAACAACCAAGTCCTTCAAGGGTACTTCTGAGTCAAAAAATGCTCATGAAATAGGTATGTGGAGTAACCAGGTAGGTAGATTTTAATTTTGCAAATCTGCAACACCTGCCTCCAGAGGGTTCAAGGCTACTGCACTCAAGATGATAGATCCCATATTTGAACATTTTTGTTATCTTTGTTGACTTTTATTTTGAAAAATTAGTGCTTGTAAAAAAAAAAAGCTTTTTTTCTATGTGTCACACCTTAACTGGCATCTAGCATAGCTGCAGAAAACTGGTATTTCCACTTCTGCTTGTTCCTTCCCCCAACACCTTACAGAAAGATAACACAGCAACGGTCTAATGAACAATAAACTTAAAACACAACTTTGCAAGCATCACAAGACAAGCTAGCGGCATAATACAGGTCTTTATTAATGCACTTTGAGTTGCTGCTTCTGGGTGGGTGCAGGGTAAGAAAATGGGAAACGTCTACTGCAACACCAGCAGTCATGTAAGAACACTGGCTTTCAAAATGTGTGTAAAAAAGTTATATCTGTGTAAAATTACTTTACTAAAGCAGTCATTGCCCCCTTTTCCCTGTTCAACGTTACAGTGGGTTTTAAATCTTTTTTTGAAAGACAAAAAAAGGAAAACTAAAATTTGGGACCAAAGTAACAGATCAAAGCAGTGGTTCAGAAAAAAACAAAATCCAGCTGTGTCTCAGTACCAGGCAGACAAGTCCAAACCGAGTCTGTTCAACTTTGAGAGACACACTCATACAGACACATAGTTGGAAGTAAAACCTGCCCTGGGGAGACAGTGCTGCCTATAGTAAAGTTAATAAAGAATGATGTTAAGGTTCTGCACGTCTTTAGATTCCCACACTGAATGACAGTTTGTAATCCCATTGCTTGTTTGAAATGCATCATGTTGCACAACACCTTTTATGAGTATCAATGTAACTTCACAGTACTGCCCCTGGAAGTTTTCAATTAGAAATTATACAAAAATAAAAATTAAAAAATACATGCAGAGCGTGGAACTTAAGAACAATTTACTCTACTAAATGCTTTTGATCCTAAGTAGGTTTCTCTCAGAGAGAAGTGCTGAACTCATCTCAGTCCATTACAGTCATGCAGGTTTACACTGACACCTAGAGTCCCACAGATGTGTGTGTGTGTTTGCTAGGGATGCAAAAACTCACACAGGCATAGGAAGATCCACACAGAAAGACCCCAGCCAAAGTCTCGCTTTACTGCACCATTTCAGTGAAATAAAACTCTATTCAAATTTCCAAATCACCAATGCAGCCTGTTACCCGTTTTCTCAAGTCACAGATGCATTCTCAACATATGTACTTAGCTATATGCATGCTTTCAAATGTATTTAGGCTAAGGAGTTGCATAACAAGTCCACAGAGGGACACATTCCATATAAACAGAAAAAACTAATGAAATCTACACACCACACCTTTCTGTGGCTTCATATGTCCTCTGTGGGAAGATGCAACCAGACCTGGCAATTATTGACATTAAATCATTGCACAATATAGCAGCAGGGACTAAATGATCTAACCTGACTGGAATGATTATACAGTTCACACAATCTGCACAATCTGTTCTCTCCTGCCCATTTTGCAGCAGGGGAACAAAACCAGCTAAATTTGAGGTAATTGGTAAATATGTACAATTTGGAAGGCATCATGTCTGCTTTACATGTCAATTTTCCAGTAGTAGCATGGAAAAGCGACAGTTTCTTTTCATCCAACGTATGTTTATTAACAAAAAACTAAAATCATCATTTTTTTAAGTATGCTTTTTCCCCCCCCCCCCCCACCATCCCCCAAACAGCCTTTTACAATTGCCTTAAAAAGGTTTTTCCAAACTTGTGAGATTAAACTAGTGCTCCTGGTTGAATGTTCAATTAAAAACCAACAATTATGCAGTTTGTAAATGCAAAAATCCCTGTTTCTTTTCTGTTCCACATGTGGAACAACTGTGACCTTTTATAAAAACCACCATAAATAGAAAGATTGCTGTTAGGTAGCTCCAACCCCTCACATGTTAGAAAAGTAATGAAAAAAAATTCTAATCAAAACAAAAATAAAATAAAAAAATCATACAACTACTTAGAGAATGTGGCTTTTCAAAACTACCAAAGCATGACATGTTCATGAATTACAGCAAACACAACAGGGCTGCTAGTGCAGACATTGTTGTCCCATGGATAGATGCAAATACCAAAAGATGTCTCTTTTAAATCCATATTGTACAAAATGTACAATATCCATATTGCTTTTTCACTTCACAGGAAATCCAGTTAAACCAGTTTGTAACTTGTAATCAGACACTAAAAGAAAAGTGACTAAGTTGTGAACGTCTCTAGCTCTTCTGTAGCTTTCACAGCTGAGGAATTACACATCACCGCCAAGGTGTTGAACCGCGGCCCTAGATGATCCAGAAAGGACAAGTTTCCATCCAGGATGTCAAACGTTAGCTCATCCAGTGACCCGCAACGGCTGCCCTCCCCCTCATATGCAAACTTAATAGGACTGTTCTCCTGTCCTTCTGCTTCTTCGTGACATGTTTTGCTAAGACTCTGTGGAATAAAAACAAAATCACATTAAGATTCATCTTAAATGCCCTCAATCATTTTTGTTCTGCTGTCTTACATGTTCCACTAATTTTTGGAGATGGGGGTAACGTCTATACATCGAGGTGCTCCGCTGAGGAAGAGAAAAGAGTTTGTTCTAGTCACAGTACCAAGAATGATGCCCAGTTAGCACACAGTGTTTTGTACATACCCGTACTGTGCTCCTCCTGCTGCCACCCCCTGTTGAAAACTAAAGAAAGGAACACAAAACCACAACTAAGTTTGGATCTTGGGCCTTTCGTGACTGTATCTGACAAACACTGCAGCTACAGTTTGTTGTTTTCCTTGTTCTCAGTAGCTCAGAAGACAGAGCCTTATGATGCGGGATCAGGGGTATTCTGCTGCTGTGTCCTTGGGAAAAGCACTTCACCCAACTTGCCCGTGTTGGTGGTGGCGGCTGTGGCTATATAGTAGCTTACCATCACCAGCAGTGTGTGAATGTGAGAGTGTGTGAATAATGGAAAGTGCTTTGAGTGCCTAGAAAAGCGCTTTGTAAACCCAATCTGTTATTTTTATTAAAATTACTAAAACTTCTAACTTTAAAAACATTGCACATGTGTTTTATATTGAGATTAATTTGATGTACAGATGTAGACAAAACAATTGGTACCCTTCCGTCAATGATAGAAAGACCCACAATGGTCACAGCAATATCTTGAATATGAAAAGCAATAATAAATAAAACTTCTGTGAAATTTAACCAATGAAAGTCAGATGTTGTTTTTCAACCTTGCTTCAACTAAATAATTAAAAACATAAACTCATGGAACAGATCTGGACAAAAATGATCATACCCTACCTCAATATTTTGTTGCTAAATCTTTTGCAGCAGTTACTGCAGTCAAATGATTCCTGTGACTTTCCATGAGAATTCTGGACCTCTGAACAGGTATTTAGGCCCACTCCTCATGAGCAAAATGCTCCAGTTCTCTCAGGTTTGAAGGACGCCTTTTCCAGATGGCATGTTTCAGCTGCTTCCAAAGATGATCAATAGGATTGAGGTCAGGGCTCATAGAAGGCAGAATAGCCCAACATGCGCAACTGTGGTCACAGGAACATGCCGCTGCTTGAAGATGGTCTCATAGTCTTTACCTTTAACATGCTTGTCTATAATTGTCTTTCTAATTTTCTGAGACAACTCTTTCCTTTGTCAACACAGTGGCTACCTGGAGTCCTGTATTTTGACCCACTGACTGATTACTAGATTGTAGACACCTGTGATGCTAATTAGTGGACACATATTGTATTATCATGTCCCTTTGGTTACGTTATTTTCAGTCTTTTCTAGGGATACCATCATTTTTGTCCTGGCCTGCTCCACGAGCGTATTTTTTAAATAATTCCGTTGAAGCATGGTTGAAAAAAAATCAAAATAAATCTAACTTTCATTGGTTAAAATTCATAAAATTTGTATTTATTTTTACTTTGGTCAGATTCAAGTTATTTCTGTGACCCTGTGGGTTTTATATCTTTGACTAATGGCCACTATCAGCTTTGACCGCATCTGTACGGACAAAAAGTCATTTAACTTTGGTAAATAGTGGACATTATCATGAATTTAAAATGTAAATGCAAGGCCACATTTGGCTCAAGCTAAATGTGTGACTAGAAGTCTTTTCTTTTGTTTGACAAATACTACAACAATTAGAAGAAAAACAATAAAACTCTGAGATTTAAAGTTGTAGTTAGTTATAGATTATTTTAACCAACACAAACTAATTGTGTAACAGCTGTTTCTCAATGCCATACAGTCAAAACTCACTCTTGATGAGCCGTCATAGCTTGATCTGGAGTATCTTTCTTGTCGTGCGCCCATGCCTGTGTCCATGCCTGCGCCCATCCTCGTGCTCTTGCGTGAGTTTATCTTTTGGGGTAAATACAGAAAAGCTAAATTATAGTGTAAAACAATGGTGCACAGGATTCATTCCTTGTTAAGAGATTTCCCGATGCCTCCTGTTCAATCATAGTTAAAATATATAAATGATGACAAGGTTTGTTTGAGACATTATTAAATAATGAGGCTTTGATTTGAAAGGGTGTTTTAGAAACATGTTACTCACGGTGATGATGTGATGCCTCTCATCATACCACATATCTCGGGCTGCCTCAGTTTTCTAGAAGAGAAAAATACATTAAGCTGTCATGATTGATGCTTGTAAAGGATACATTTGATTCTCCTTAAAGGCATTTGGGGTGATTGAAACATTACAGTTCACAACAGCCATAAATGTTCTGTTCAGCTACAGTTTGTTTGCAGAGATTTCTGCTTCAAAGAACAGGAGGTGTCTTCATTTGCACTCTGTTCCTTTAGAAGTACTGTATGACCCCCAATTTATAAGCCTTCCTCTTCCTTCCTAGATAACACCTCACCACCCCAAGGCCCTTCTTAGTGTTCTTCTGTGGAGGAGTGTATACGAGAGTTATGAGGTTTCTGCGGGGCAGGACTCACTCCTGAGATGCTGTAACATTTTCTCTGTGACTGATTTCCTCATTTCTTATATTGCTATATTGGAATTAAAACCTTTTGTTTGAATCATAGATTGCTTTCCCACTGCTTTATTAAGAAATTCCACAACGATGTTTGACAAGTTTGATGTGGGAATTTACAATAACACTTTACAATAATGTACGCAAAATTGTGCTTCATTACTAGGGAACGACTTACAGGGTAATGATTAATGAAGCAAGAAAGAATAGGTAGTTAATCAGTAGTTACTGGTGAAAACACTCTTCAGACTTGTTTCATGGTCTAATACGTAGTTAGCCAATACTTAATGGTAAACACCCAGCAGTCTTATTCAGAGACTAATAGGTAGTTATCTATTTGTGCTTTGTTACTAGGGAACGATTTAAAGGGTACCGAGTAATGAAGCAGGGAAGAATAGGTAGTTTCATGGACGTAATTTTGGGGGGGGGACAGGGGGGACATGTCCCCCCCACTTTTTCCAAAGTCAAGTTTTGACCCCTGCACTTTTTACCATCAAAAACAATATTACGCTATATTAAATTGACACTGGTTGAGCTCTAGGACCAAGCGGAAAACAACCGTTTGTGTTGAAGCCTGTTTCCCATTAGAGCATACTGTAAAGATACACCCCCACCCCCACCCCCGTGTCCCCCCCACTTCTAAAGTGAAAATTACGTCCATGGGTAGTTTAAGAGTGTTTTTACATGTTGTATTCAAAGTTTGTAAATGTAAAGGTTCATTTTTGTGTACTTTTCTGATTATTTAAAAAAGTACCCTAAACATTGAACATTTTGTTAGTGACTGATTTGAGCCAGGTAAAGGTTGGTTTATGCTTGACACGTCCGCGAGGTCCGCACGGCTCCACGCGGAAAAGTTGCGTCATTTTGCATCATTTTAACAACCACGCCCCTCCACCGCGTCTCCGCACGGCCCAAGATTTCCGCAACGCGCACCTCGGAAAATTTCTAACCACGCGGACGGTCGGACGCGGAAAAACATGGCGGACCGGCACGGCAGAGGTTCGTAAATACAGACATTTGTATGATTCAGCTCTCAAAGATCACCGTGATCAACATGTTGTTAATAATTCTTGGAGAGAAATAGCTCGCACTGTCGGAAAAGACGAGAACGCTGTTAAAAATGCTGAAATACCATGTTGTAAACAGTGATTTCTACTTCTACTATGGTGTAGTGTTGGATGCATGCTGTAGAGCTCCATGCTGCCCCGTTCAGTTTGGGAGAATATTGGCTCACCGCAGAGACGAGCCGCACAAACCATAAACGCTGCGAGTTGTGAAGCGCGTTCCAGCCGCGAGCCGCATCACCGCGCGGAAAGTGAATGCGTCAAGCATAAACCAAGCTTTACACTGTAACCTGCAGGATTTTGTTCACCCATCTCTGGAATATTACCACACACAAGATGAAAGAAAATGATGTATGAATAATCTCAATGTACTTATGGTAAATAGTCATGCAACAACATATAAGTAATGGTTAAGTATTAAGTAAGTACAGATTCGTTCCTTAGTAGGTACTTGGGAGGAGGCTTCACTTTAAGGTAGACAAAAGCAGTAGGTAATGGTTAAGTGCCTAGTAGGTATAGATTAGTTCCTGAGTAGGTACTTGGGAGGGGGCTTCACTTTCCATCATCTCAAGATGGACGGATGCTGACGATGGACGACGATGTGACAGATGAGTGAAATCAAGATGAAACAGTGACGTTAAATCACTGTGATGTTGCAAATTATCTGCATCCTTCATGAAGTTTACAAAAGAGAGTCCACAGGCACTACATTCATTTGGGATTCGTTGCTTATTGTGTTCATAGATAACTACTAGTCCCTGAATAAGACTGCTGGGTGTTTACCAGTAAGTATTGGTTAACTACCTATTAGTCCCTGAATAAGACTGCTGGGTGTTTACCAGTAAGTATTGGTTAACTACCTATTAGTCCCTGAAAAAAGACTGATGAGCGTTTTCACCAGTAACTACAGTTTTCTTCCCTGCTTCATTACTCATTACCCTCCAAGTCATTTCTTAGTAACGAAGCACAATTTTACGTACCTTATTGTAATGTGTTACCGAATTTGCAACTATAGATGTATTGCAGTATAGATATTTATCTCTATGGTTTTATATGGTACCTTAATATATTGTATTTGTTATTGTTTATTATGTTGTGTGTTTAATAATTTTTAAAATTGCTTTTATCTTTAACCTGTGATATCGTCTGTATGTCTGTTATATTTTACTTGTTTAATGTTTCACACCTGCTCGTAAATTACACAATTTGATTTAATGTTAAAAAGTTCCCATTTTGTTTCGTTTCAAGGTTCAAGGTTACAATATTTACTTCAAAATGTGACAACAGTTTTCTTTGTTGTATAAATCTTCTTTCTTTGAGCCCTGTTACATAACCCTGTGCAAACACTTTTTCCATCAAATTTTCATATTTATTTTAAGAAACATGTAAATATAAAAACAAGCACACAGAAGACATACTTACAACATCTAGATGAGTGAATCCCATCATGGCATCCGTGACCCCCATGGGGGGCCCCTACAATTTTTATTTTTTCTGAGGTTGCAAAGTTTACATTTGTAAAAACACCACTTAGAAAATCCCAATAAACGCCCATATAATCAAAACTCTGTACGAGTTAAATCTGTATGAAGTTTTTAGTTAACACATGTATGTGGTTAGGAGTTGGGCTGTGGCTCTGGCTTGTTTAGATAGCAACAAAGAAACAAAGTTGCCTTTTATTTGTTCAAAAGGCATCACATTTTGAAAACTTTAGAACATTTCTGTACAGAAATGTCCCTGACGTTTTCCCCCTCAGACACTGTTAGTGTGTACGCTTCAAAACAACAGTATAAAGAGGAAAGAGAGCTTAAACATGTTTTTAATGGGTACCTGTACAAAGCTGTGTTTGACACCATCTGTCACAATTTCACCATTTGCTTGTGTCAAATGAACAGGCTCTGCCTAGAAGACGAAAAGGAAAGGAAACAGTGTTTAATAACGGATTGTCTTGCTCACAACCACATCACAACTAACTAACCTTGCAGTCAACGCTCATCCCTTCTTCATTGTAATGGATTAGTGACTGCTGGCCCTGGTCCTCAAAAGACTGGAAATTTCTTTTGGGTTGATTGCAAACAAAAATGACCAGCAGTACTGCAGAAACATCACATTACAACTTAGATTAGAAGCCATGGCTTTCAGTTAATGAAAGTAAAATATGGAATTACAATGACATAATATACAGTAAATGCGTGCAAAGCATCTCAGGCATTCAGGGTACCAATAGGTTAGTGCCAGTAATTACCACCCCGACATTTTTGATGTACGTTTGTCAAAATATCATTTTCATTTCTGAAGAACATATGGATGCAGAAGTTGTCTTATCTTCTCATTTTCTAATGTGTTTCTTGTGAGAATTTAAATAATTTTAAATTTAAATATTAAAAATAAAATGTTTGGAAGATTTATTTATTTTTATTGGTGCTTTTCAGCTTTTGCAGTGATTGTGTCAGAATTACATGTGTTTAACAACTGCTAATTGTCAATTGACAATTCTATTAGATTTAGATTTAATCATTAAACAACAGAAACATTTTGAGAGATGTAATACATTATTGTGTCTAGATTATTCGTGTATAATGATTGCCATACTCACTCAGAAATAAAAGCAGTCCAAGGCTTATTGTTCCAATGGCAGCATCACTGACGTTAGTTGAGAGTGGATTTATAGTCCTGACACAAGCATTTCCTCCTCCACAATCACAAACCTCCACCTCCAACGTCTCGTGTCCAATCATATTCTGTTTGTCCTGAATCAGCAGAGGAATGGAGTAATTACCCCTCTCAAGTGACTTCAGAGCAACAAGGCCAGCTTGTTCCCCTGGTAAAGATGTAAAGATTTGTGTCAGTGGCTTTTCAAGTATTTTTTTTAATTATCAAGAAGGATTTAGAGGAGTTTTGGACCAACCATGAGCAGGGTCAAGTTTCCACAGCCGTTTCAGAGTTTTATCACCCGTCAAGGTAAAGATGAAAGGTCCACTGTATGGCTCTGCATCACTGTCCTCAGCAGGCACCATGATCTTGATAACTTTGTTATCACAAAAGATCATACTTGAGTTGACCAGCTTAGGGGTGTTGTCATTGATATCCTTGAGGTGGACCTTGATGGTGCAGGTGCTTGTGGCAGGAGGTGTGCCTTAGAAACAACAACAGAGGAAAAGTAATTTAGTTTCATTTCTTTAATGAGACATTATGTATTTTCAAGTGGTTACATTTATTTGAACCATCTCATACCGTCATCTATAGCAGCAAAAACAACTCGGTAAATATTGTTTTCATCAACAAAGGGTGACTCTCGGTCCATTTTCTTGATTGTTGTAATTTTTCCAGTTTTTTCATCAAGAGACATCCAACCAGCTGGATCTTCTACCATGACAAATCTAGGCACATGAAAATCACAAACAATACAATCACAGTTATAATATTCCACTTATATAAGCTGATCAGTAGAAAATAATCTGTTTCCCAATAGTCATTGTGATGTACAGTCCTGTTCCCTGAGATCTACCATCTTGCATGTTTCATTTGTTTGCTTTAATACACCTGCTTCCAATCATTAAAATCAGGTGAGTTAGAGCAGAGGAACATCTACATATGCAGGATGGTGGTGGGGGGTTGTTGTAGGGCTCAGTGGAGGATTTTTCTAACCCCCTGCAGGGATTGTAGAGCTCAGGGAGGGCTGCGTTAAACTAAATTAACCCTCACATCAGTTCAGGTTACCCTCAAATGACTTGTTTCTTTTTACTTTTCTTCCTGTCTGGGATGAGCGGAGCACCTCATGGAAGCTTTTTGTCCGAAGTCTTTCTGTCAGAACCCCCCTGGCCACAAGGTGCCCAGTGCAAGGTGTGTGTGGGCAGAGCATTGGCAGTGATGGTGTTCATCAGGACCTATGTCTACAGTCTGAGCTTTCACAGACACAACCAGGCTGTAAACCCCGTGCTTTCATTATACCGTGCACACACAAACACAAACAAGTTGCTCTGACACAGGACAGCTTCATCACCTAAACCTTTTCCAGTGAGATCAGAACCAGACTCTGAACAGAAGATGTAAAACAACCCCTTAATTTAAATCTTCAATCTGTAAAAGACTCCCTGAGATTGGGAGATTGTGGTTTCTAATCCATGATCAGATCATACCGAAGACTTGCCCCCAGCTTGACACTCACCATTAATGGGTGCCACTAGGAGGTTAAAACCACCAAATAGTTCCTGAGCGCAGCTGTGTTTGCAGCTCACCGTCTGCCCCAGGGGATGGGTCAAATTCAGAAACAAATTTCACCACACAACAGTGAGTGTGATGACTAATGGGACTTTAATCTATATGATACTAGGCACCCTGGCTTTTGTTTTGCTCCCTGTTTGGCTGCTACATGCAGATGACTTGTAATCTGGGCTCAAAAAGAGGAACACATAGAGGGACAGGGACAGTCAGAGGGGAAGTGTGATGGACAGTTGAGGATCCAATCATTTGGAAAGGAGGTTTACTTGGAATGTTCATTTCAAGGGCAATGAAAAATATTCACTTTCTGACAATGGACTGGATTAATTAGGTTAAATTTGGTATGTGATGAGCATTTTTAGCTAAGTGGCAGAAATGCTCTAGAACGAAATTCTTCAATGCACTTTTAAAGGGGAACCTACTGTGTACAAGGTCCTTAATGGGCCACATACCAAGTACTGATGGTAGTATATAAGTCCATTCTGAGTACTTATTGTGAGACACACCAGGTACTTACAGGCATGTGTGGTGTATTGTTATTGGCCAGCAGTATCTCAGGAGGTAGAGCGGGTTGTCCAGTGCAGCAACCTAATGTTGTGATTCTCGGATGTGGCAATAAAACCCTTCTGATTTTGACTCTGAATTGGAGGGTTGTGGGATGGATCTGGACTCCCTGCAAATAATTTTGCTATTGTGTCCTTGGGCAAGACACTTCACCATCCTTGCCTGCTGGTGATTGGAGGGACTAGCGGCACTTGTGTACGGCAGCCTCCCCTCCAACAGTGTGTGTGTGTGCGCTTATGGTTTGCGAGACCTATTTGTCAGGTTACACACCAGCAGGTGCGCAGATAGGGTGGAGGACGGGGGGGATCTGTCCCCACCCCAGATTCAGATCGATCCAGATCTGTCCCCGCACTAAGGCCAGAAAGAAAACAAAGTCAGAGGTTGAGCGCTTGAAGCTCCTTTTTCCAATTACATTGAATGCAGCATGACGTAAACAAACACCGACTCTAGAGGCGCCAAAGTAGTTGCTGCTAGGATGCAGGATGAAGCGAAAAAGGCAAGCAATGATTACTGCGTATTTAAAAAGACCAACAATGTAGGCCTAAGTAGGCTGGACTGATCTGTCTGTTTATGCATGTTGGTTATAGTTTCAGTACATTGTTGTCAGTGTTGGGACTTGCTCGTTAAAAGCACCAAAGCCTCATTGCTGACTTTAGCAAGTCTCATCTACAAATATGATCCCTCATGAAGTTACTAATTTACACCAGAAGATAGTGGAGATGTGTCACCTTCAGGCTGAGCAATGTTTGGGAGTTTTTAGAGTTTGAAAAATGCCTCCCGCCGAGAGGCTCCCAGTCAGGGACAGGAGGAGATGCACGCAACATGAAGAGTGCAAATATTAGATAAAACGTATAATTGCCGGCAGGTCTGGTATTTGTTGACTGATCACTTTATCTTGTAATGACTGACTCTGATTATGAAGCAGAATATTGAATCTGATGAAGAAATTCACTCATCCAGCCGGGACGATTGACGCTGCTGCAGCATCAGACAGCTGGTGCTGCACGAGAGGTGCGTGGAGCTGATGTTTGTTTAACCTTCTTTGGGACGTGGTGGATGTAGAAATGATGGTAAAAACACAGCTAACGTGACAGATGTAGCGACAATGTAAAAAAGAAAGCCGTAAAAAGAGGCAGATGCCGATGCACTATGTATGGAAGTCAAAGTGTGCCACATAATCATAAAAATGTAAAATATAAAATTTTAAAAGAGATTTATATATTTATGTATAAATTGAAACTTTCCAAAAATAATGAACATTTCTAAATAATGTAAAAATACGAATGAACATCTGTTGGTCAGGCTGAAAAGTTTGGGAACCACTGCTCTAAGTGATAAGGGAATTTCATTTTTTAAATATATTTTATGAGCAGTTTTTTAGGGCTTTTATGTTTTCTGTAAAGATTGGTATGCTGAAAATCATTTAATGTTTTGCATAAAGCACGAGGTTTTGCTTAGTAATTGATTGGGAGAATAACAAATGACTGAACTGAATAGTCAGTGCACCCCAGGGCAGCTGTGGATAGATCGTAGCTTATCATCATCAGTGTGTGAATGTGTGTGTGAATGGATGAATGATACACTGTAGTGTAAAGTGCTTTGGAGCGGATATTTTATTTAGCTTGCAATAGTTTGTGTATGTGCATGTGCGCGTGTATGTGCGTGTGTGTGTGTGTGTGTGTGTGTGTGTGTGTGTGTGTGTGTGTGTGTGTGTGTGTGTGTGTGTGTGTGTGTGTGTGTGTGGGTGGGTGTGTTTGGGGAGGGTACATTGGAACTTTGTCCCCCCCAGTTTTAAAATCCTATCTGCGCCCCTGCACACCAGCATTATGAAACCAATAGGTTTATGAGACCATTTTTGATGGTCTCGTATTTCGTGACTTTTTAAGTGTTGTAATCTTTGAAAAATATAAAAAGTAAACATTGTTAATATATTATTACAAACTTTGTAACAGCCATTATCATCTTATTTAGTTATTTCAGCACTTTAACCTTCCTTTTGTGTTTTATGGCCAATTTAAAAATTGGTTTCGTAAACCATATCATGTGTGTTGTGTACAATATCAGAGCCCCCTGCTGGTAGAAAACTGCATAGCAGGGCTGATACAACAGGCACAACTTAGCACCTCAGCAGCAGGACTTCTCCTTGCCTGACTTCTCGCTAAAAAATATAAATTGCCATAATTTCATCATCGAAGGACACAGAGTCACGAAAATTTTTGTGGTTGTTTATCATCCACTCCTGAACAACAATCAATAGTCAGATGAAGACGTAATTAAGGCTCCACCCCCTCACAACAGAAAAAGTCATGTTTACTCTGAAAGCTCCCAATTGTACCCTTTTGATCGAACCAATATGAATCACTGCCAAATAACAGTTGACATGTTGGGCTCACTTAGCATCCAGTACTGGCAGGTGTTGAAAGAGGGCGGGACTGTGGCGGTATGGTGAATTCAGGCGTAATGCCGTAGCATTACGTTTGCCTCTCATTTCCTCATTCCTCAACTTATCTGCAGGAAATTTTGCATGAGTGTGACTAATCTGACCTCAAACAGATATGTATGCAAACATCCAGTGGGCGTGGTCTATTTTTTTCAAATAGCGCCCCCCTAGGACCACTGAAACAGTAAGCCCCATGCCATGCTTTTACTGAGGATTATGAAAGTTGGTACACTTATGTAGTGTCTCAGAACCTACAAAAAAGTCTATGGAGCTACTTTCCAAATCCGACAAGAAGTCGGCCATTTTAGTCACATGACTATTTCTTCTTTTCTTTTTTGCACATGCTTAATTAGAGCTAACTTATTGTACAGTTTTTGACATATTTCACTCATAAGCCACTGGGGATCAAAAGTTGTGAAAAACGTTCTCAAAAGTATCATGTGTAGGCATGGCTAAGCCTAAAATATTGACCCGTTGCCACGTCAGTGGGTGTGACCTATTTCTTTAAAATAGCAGGCCCCTAGGGCGATCAAAACTATCAGCCTCATGCCATGCTTTTACTGAGGATTATGAAATTTGGTACACATATGTAGAGTCTGGCAGGCTTCAAAAGAGGGTGGGGCTTAAGGAGTATGGTGAATTTAGGCATCACACCATGGAATTATGTTTGCCTCTAATTTCCTCAATTCACATCTCATCTGTGCAAAATGTAAAATGATTTACACTAATCCAACCCCAAACAGATAATTATACAATTTTTCCATAGGCATGGCCTAGTTTTAATATAGTGCTCCCTAGGACCATCACAACAGTCAGCTCTGTGTCATGCTTCGACTGAGGATTATGAAATTTGGTACACTCATGATGTGTCTTGAGACTTGCAAAAAGTCTGAAACCATGTTTCAAAACCAAAAGGAAGTTGGTCATTTTGGTCAGATGATGCCATTTTGTCATTTTTACACATATTATATTTTAACTAACCTGTCCTAGGGCTTTAGGCCTATGACCTAAAATTGATAAGCCATTGGGAATCAAAAGTTGTCTAAATACTTTTTAAAAGGACTAATGGGTTAGTTTGGGCTTAGTCTAAAATATTGATTGTTTTACATTAAAGCCCTTGGTTTATTAACTTGCAGACACATGATCAGAGCTATATCCAACTTAGTGTGTGTTATCACAAATCTCAAGACAATGACAGTGTCATTTCCTGCCATCACCAAAGCCACTACCCCTGACAACAGGAAGTATATTGTTTTACTCTAAAAGGTCCACCTTTGACCCTTTGTATAGAATCAACATGGGACACTGCCCAATGACAGAAGACATGCTGGTGTAATGCAGCATTCAGTACTGAGATATTTCAAGAGAGAATGGGGTTGTGGTGGCACGGCAAAATCTGATGGAAAGCAGTGGCCTTACAATTGGCTGTAATTTCATCATACACACTGATTTTCACCAAATTAAACACAATAGATGTTACTGCCTCTTAAAGAAATGTTTGCTAATTGTTGGTAATTGTAGTCTTAATTTTGCCACAGGACCCCTTGCATGCATTCATCTCTTTAATAACTTCTACAAAAAAGGTCATAATATGTCAGTATGACTTTCTTGTTTAATCCTTGTAACTGTGTTGAGTGTTAACTCGACAAGGTTTGTACACTCTGTGAGCCCCTAGCTGCCTTTTATAAACAACAAGCTATGAACAAGCTATCCTATCCAATCCTGATACCATTTAAATGTAGTTATTGTCCCATAAATAAGTCTGAGATACTCACTCAAAAATGGAACCACAATTAGCCACCTCTTCTACATAGATGACATAAAACTGTATATCAAGCGCGAGCAAGACATTGACTCACTGATCCACACCACCAGGGTCTACAGCACTGATATTGGAATGTCATCTTGACTTGAGAAGTGTGGTCGAATGTTGACAAAGGAAGGGAACATAACAGATACAGGAGGGGTCTCACTCCCAGAAGGAACAAAATCAGACCTTGAGGACAGCTACTAATTCCTTGGTGTCCGACAAGCAAATGGCAACCTCGATGAGGCTGCAAGGAAATAAGCCACAACCAAATACTTAAAACAAATAAGGCAAGTCCTAAGAAATCAGCTCAAGGGCAAGAACAAGATTCAGAAAATAAACAGCTATGCCCTGCTAGTAATCAGATATCTGTCAGGAATAATGAGCTGGCCAAAAGAAAAAAATACAGACCACAGATGTTAAGACACAAAAGCTCCTAACCACGCATTGACCATTCCACACCTAATCCAGCACCCTAAAATGGTATGCTAGCAATAAGGAAGGAGTCAGAGAACTAGCTAGTGTGAGAGCTATGATCCAAGATGAAACAGCCAAGATCTTTAAGTACCATCAAGGATAAGACCTCTACAGATGACATGCTCAGTGAATGTCACAGACAATGGCAAACAGAGGAGCAGGTGCTGGAAATACTATTGTGGAAGGACACCCCTACATGTGATGTACCACCGACAGGACATAGGACAACTGAGACTAACAAAAACTGAGATTTAGGTAGCATGAGGTTGAGGTTTCTGAACAGAAACATTAGTAGAAATGTTAGCTTTACCTATGCAGTCTTCTGAATAAAGATTTCTGACGTTTATCCTGGAATATGCCCGTCTCTTTCTGAGTTAAATGGTCACAGGCCCAAGTGCTCGATTGACCACTGGTACTTCTGAGGCCTTGACTCCCCCCAAAAACCTCTATTTCCTGTTTGATTCCTTGATTTTGAATGTTATATATAAATGTGTTTGCTGGTCTCATAATGTTTAAATGTCCCCTTAAACCATGAAACATTCAGAATTGTATATTTTTGTAAACAGACCTCAAACCCGAATTGTCTCCATAAACCACCAGGTTGTCAAGTACTCATTAGCCTGTGGAAATTCATAAGTGAAATGTATGTTTGTTCTGATATGTTTTTCTTATTTTTGAAGTAAGACTTTTCTTCTATGGGTAAAATCAAATTTTTTGACTTCCTTGTCGTGTTCACCAGATGCAGGGAAAGGTGTGTCCTCATAAACCACCAAAAAGTCATAGTGGCTTCATAAACCATATATGCACGTATGTGTGTGTGTGTGTGTGTGTGTGGTGTGTGTGTGTGTGTGTGTGTGTGTGTGTGTGTGTGTGTGTAAGGGGGTGTTCTACAACTCTGAAAATGTAGCTTAAATTTCCCCTTTGTCTCATCTCATCAGCTGTGCTGCCAGCTTCCCCATCTCCCAATTGTGCTCATGCCAGGATGAGACTTTGATTGACGTTGCACACATTTGCTGTCAAGTTTTGTTTTTAATGTATAATTATAAATGATAAATGACCCACACTTTTATAGCGCCTCTAAGAGTAAGGACTCCAAAGCGCTTTACACTGCAGTGTATCATTCATCCAATCACACACTGATGGCGATTAGCTACGATGTAGCCACAGCTGCCCTGGGACGCACTGACAGAGGCGAGGCTGCCGAGCACAGGCGCCACCGGTCCCTCCGACCACCACCAGCAGGCAAGGTGGGTTTGGTGTCTTGCCCAAGGACACAACAGTAGAATTCTCTGTCTGGAGCCGGGATGGAACCTGCAACCTTCCGATTACTGGACAACCCGCTAAACCTGTTGAGCTACTGCTGCCCCAAATTACTAAGGTTGTGCAGAAAATGTTTTACGCAATTTTGAGACCCAAATATTTTGCATATGCAAGCATTATAGATGAGGCCCCTGGTCTGTAATAAGAACGGTACTGCCCTTGTCATTTACACATTAGATGCCAGCTTTTGCAAAATCTTGCAACATCTACTTAACATGGATTTTAATCATTTAATCCATACATCAAACAGACAGACAGCCAAACAAGTTGACTTTGTCTTTTGTTTTCTTCTTGCTTGGAAGACATGCAGCATGTTGAAACATACCTGACATTGGGTGAGTCGATATCCTGAACCTTTGGAGTGTAGAGCACCTGTCCTGGCTCCGACTCTTCTACCTGATACACCTCGTCTGTATATTTTTCAAACACTGGTGCGTCATTGGTATCGAGCATTTTCACTGTAACATTGACTGAATCTGGAGGTGGGAGCAGCTTTGGATCTTTAATCAGTTTATTATCTTTACAAATGAATAAGGGCTCAACATTTTCAGCTCCGATTGTCAGGTTCACCAAAGTATTTTGGTTGTAATTCTTCTCCTAGAAAAACAAACCAGTTGTGATCAGAACAAATGAAATTGTTGTTGATGATTGGACTATTAATTTGAACTGAGTACATATTTTAGTCTAATGGAGAGCAGCTGTTACCTTGACAACACTCAGAATACACTCATTAGTTTTTGGGTCAGTTCTAAGGCTGTAGATTTCTTCTTCATTGCCACTGATGAAGTAGTACTTGGCCTTCCAGCCATCAGTGTTAGGAGCATCCTTGTCCTCTACTGCAATTCTCAAAATATCATCATGGGTAGTCATTTCCACAGCCTCAACTTCGTACTACGAAGAAATAAAGTCGTTAAAACATATTCTGAATTCTAGAAACAAAATGTAATAATAACATAAAAACTTGCCTGTTTCTGCTTGAACTTTGGAGCGTTATTGTTTTTGTTGACAATATTGAGCGTAATAACTTCAGTGGTGGAAAGAGGTGGCTTTCCATGATCACTTGCTGTGACTTTTACTTTAAACTGCTTTGCTTTCTGAAAAAAATACAAAATTTTTAAGGTAAGCCATATCGGCATGGGACTGCATAGCCATGAACTAGCTGTTATTCTGGATTAAATAACATTCTTATCCTTACATCATAGTCAAAACATCCTTTGAAGGTGAGTCGAGCCATTCTGTCATCAATCTGTGTGACATTAATCTTAGGCTCTGCCGGGTTCTGAGAAACCACACTGATTGAGACCGTTGAGTTGATTGTTTTCTCCTTATCTTTATCTTTAAACTCCATAGATGCTGGCAGGAATCCTTGTACAACCAGATAAGGTATACATTACACAGGCATCAGTGATGATTGATGATTTTGTACGACCATGCCGCCTCGTGATTTGTATCTTGAGAGGCGCTATAGAAATGATATTTTCTTCTTCTTCTCATAATATAATTACAGCTGTTAAAAAATCTCTCAATATCAAAAAACAAGCAGAAAATCCTTTTTACAAAATTGCAAACTCACCTTCCGCCGTATTTTCATCCACGCTGACTATTTTCGTAATATTGGTAAACATTGGTGCATTATCATTTAAGTCTTTTACTTGGACATCAAAAGATAGCTCCCTGTCCATTTTTGTGTTGGCTGATTCGTCCCAGACATCAAATGTGATCTGTGGATTGAAATACTCAGGTAAAGCATTTTCCGGGGGTCACACGTCGTATTAGGAGTTAATTATCAGAAGGTTGGATTGTCATATCAGCTCACGTGATAAATCTCTTTCTCCTCTCTATCAACTTTTTTGTGCACATAAACGTCTCCGGTTACATCATCAATGGAGAACAATCCATCATGAACACCATCTCCACTTATTACAAACTTGTATTTCTTCCCTTGAGTCTTGTCATTGTGCATCTAAAAGAAACAGTGAGCTGTTAGTTTTAGATTATTTCATCTTAATGGAAATGAGAGCTGTCAGACTCTGACCAGTTATTATATAATTCTTTACCGTTGTGATTTTGAATGGGTATTCCACCTCCATTTCTTCCTGTAGCTCAATTGTGGACAGGACCCATCTCCTTTTAGAACGCAGTAAAACATCCTAATGTAGCCCAGATGAGAAATAAACTATTTGCAGATTCTCTCTTCAGTGGAAAATGTAGAATTTGGTTTTCAAATACATTTACCCGTTTCAATCGACTGTGGTCCTTGCTACCACCTTGACATTCTCCGATGGCTGCTAACGCAACCTTCATGGAACAGAAAAACAAAATTGTATCAATGCTGCATTTAATAATGTGTAGCTGCTTTATACAGCATTTCCTATTCAGGGTTAAGTTATTAAGTATTTGCCCACACAACTGTCTCCTTTTTTACTTATAATTTTTAGTTACTATATGTGCATTATCACAAATCATCCAATCAAACAGCAATTGGACAGTTTTGAAACATAAAAAGCTGAAAAATATCAAATAAGCAAAATTTTACAAGTAAAAGAAGAAATATTTCAATTCATTAACAAGATTTTTACGTTTTAAGTGCTTTAGGGGTGTGTTGACATCAGAGATTACATTAATTACTAAAATAAAACATAAATTATGCTTTATATGTTTCCGGCTTCTATGAGACAAACAAGAAACTTTTTGATGACATAGAAAAACTGTAAGAAATGCATGTAATATTAATTTTTAATATTTGAATATTGCTATTTTCTGCTTATTTTGGCTTCACTTTTATGAAATAATCCATCCATCCATTCATTTTCATCCGCTTATCCAGAGTCGGGGCGCGGGGGCAGTAGCATAAGTAAAGAGGCCCAGACTTCCCTCTCCCCAGCCACTTGGGCTAGGTCTTCCGGGGGAATTCCAAGGCGTTCCCTGGCCAGGTGAGAGACATAGTCCCTCCAACGTGTCCTGAGTCAATCTTTAGGTCTCCTTCCGGTTGGACGTGCCCGGAAAACCTTACCAGGGAGGCGTCCAGAAGGCATCCTGACCAGATGCCCGAGCCACCTCAACTGGCTCCTCTCGATGTGGAGGAGCAGCAAATCTACTCCGAGCCCCTCCCAGATGATTGAGCTTCTCTCTCCATCTCTAAGGGAGAGCCCAGCCACTCTGCGGAGAACTCCTTTTGGCCACTCGTATCCGCAATCTCATTCTTTTGGTCACTACCTAAAGCCTGTGACCATTTATTATAAATTAATAGGTGTGTAAATAGTTTGGGGATGTCTCAGCTGTCTTTCCTGTTTATATTTACAGTTTGGATAACACTTCACAATTTATTAATGTTACTCAGTGCACTTGTCAGTATTAAATAACTATTAAATTAAGTAGTACCAACTTTCTAAACCATGTTAATGTACAACTAAGCAGACCCCCCCTGGCTGCTTGTACTAACCTTAAGGGCACTTAGGTGACTGTAACATTAATAAAGGGACCCTTATTATAAAGTGGTACACAATATTTATATACTACTGTTTTTTAAACATAAATCCAATTGTTTTATTAATTAGTTACTTTTTGCTTATTGTATCGTACGACGAGCCTCAATGAAAAGTCCCGAGGCAACACCTGTCATTAAAAACCTTTCACTCATTCAATAATTTAGTCAAAGGAAGCTCAGCAATAAAGGAGTTATCAAAACCAAAAAAGATACTCTTGAAGGTTGATATGTAAAGATGTTTATAATTATGCAATTTCAAAACATGAGGGCATCCTAATCAAGTCTGATCCAGAAACTGTTTAATTTACATTGTTCTGTAAAGATCAGACACTTTTTTTGCTAAAGTCCACAAGCTAAAATATAAAAAAATCTGAAAAACAGAGCATTTTCTTTTTGACCTTTTAACCTTTTAATTATAAAGACATGTGGATTTTACAGTTCTGTTATTTTCAATGAAAAACTAGTCGCAAATAATCAGTCTCAGTTTGTAATTTTTAGCAGCAATTTAATATTTACAGTAAAATAAAAGTTATTTTCTTAGACAACAATAAGAACAATGGCAATCTGAAAAATGTGTCACATACCAGCAGATGTAGGAAAATTCTCATCCTAGCACGCACCGCCTGCTATCCAAGACAGAAACTCGCTGATGGAACAAGAAGCCCTTTAGCTTAGACCTGAGAGAGCCACACCCACTTTGCCTGCAGGATGAGTGATTGGCTAAAAATATAGGAAATAGTTGTTTTGTGTATGCACCAGTAAGGTGGAGTGAGATATGAAACTTCACTTTAAACATGAGACAAAGCAACATTATGCACGTGTAAAAGCTTTTGTACATTGTGAGCTAGAACTGTTGCTGACTGGTTGTGCTTGGAAGTAAAGTTCGGTACAGGTGTGTACCCTCTGGGCCTTCAGCTCAGGTTACCATGTCCTATTTATGTCTAGGCTACATCACAGTTATGAGTTTAAAATGCATAGGTTGTCACTGGGAATAGATCACTGCAACTAGAAACAAACAGCTACACCACACATTACTGGCTAATCATCGGCTGTCACGTTCATTTAGGACATTCCGTTCCCTTTCATGTGCATGTTCCTTTTTGAGGGGAATTCAGTACATCTGTGATGAAACCTGCTGGTTTGAGCATTCAATTTAAATATGAATGGAATGCCCACAACATCGTGATAATAATGATAAAGACATGAAGCCAGTAGAGCGGGAAGCCCATAATTTTGATTTTTTTGGTAACAATATGACATGTGAACCATCAGAAATATCCATCGTTCGACACCACGGATACATTTCACAGGATGCTTTTATAAAAACTGTCAGGCTTGTATCTCCTTAGCCCAGGTGTGTCCAAAGTGTGGCTCGGGGGCCATTTGCAGCCCTTGGAGTGATTTTGTATGGCCCTAACTTGCCTTTTTAGAATTGTGGAGGTAAGTAAGTAAATTTTATTTATATAGCACACATCACAGACATAGAATCACAAAGTGCTTCACATAGATCAAAACAAAATAAAACAGTTATTAAATCATAACGATCTCAAAACAGAAATAGATTAACATCAGAAAAAATAAAGTCATAAAATTATAACATTTCATAAATAGATTACAAATTTCTGTTAAAAATAAGAAAATAAAAGATTTAAGTAAAAGCAGGTTTAAGTAAAAGGGTCTTTAGCAGTTTTTAAAAGTGTCCAGACTGTCCGTAAGGATAAAAGAAGATCATTCAAAAGTCGGGGTGCAACAATCTGGAAGGAGCAATCAGCTCGACTTTTATATCTGGTCTTTGGAACTTCTAGAAGGTTCTGGTGAGTGGACCTGAGGGCTTGGGTTGGAGCATAAGGCTTTAACATTTCAGTAATATAGGGAGGAGCTTGACCATGTAGACCATTGAAAGTTATATTCAGGATTCTAAAATGAACTCTAACGTTAACGGGTGACCATTAACCAGTCTCTCCTGGTAGCTGTTGATATAAATTAATATATTTTAAAATGTAATGTTTCAATTCTTTCCACATAGTAATATAGTATATTGTAATATATTTTAGATGTTTTTGTGAAAAATGAAAAATATAAAATGATTGCGATGGTTAAAAAAACAAAATGTCATTTTTGTGGCCCATGAGGGGTTTAACTTCATGATTCTGGCCCTCGTCATGAAAAGTTTGGACATCCCTGCATTAGCCTTTGCATCTCAACCTGAAGATTGTTAACTGTGTATTTTGAATTAAGCCTAATTTTAAACATGGGTCTGGGAGTACTACATTGTGAGAAATCAACAGAGATGTGGTAAGTCACAAATGAGAAGGTTGAAAATAGAGATGTACTGACTAGTACAGTAATCAAATCATTATTCTGTAGACCTTTGTTTTTTTTCTTGGGCGGGGGGGGGGGGGGGGGGGGATTAATAAAAATAATCAATTTTAAGCTAATTTCCACAATGTTGGGAGTATAGTGAACTTTGAGAAAACCACAAATGCAGGCTACAACTTGGAAGCAACAATTGCTCCGGGCAGACAGTAGAGTTCAGTCTGTAGTAACGTTAATAACTATTGATGGCAAGCTTCTGCAAGTCTTTCCATTCCCACACTGAACTGCAGAGTCAGTATCAAGATGAAAGTAATCCCTGTTGCTTGGTGCAGGTAGTAGATGTGTGTGTGAATGGGTGAATGACTGATTGTATTGTAAAGCGCCTTGGGGGTTCCAGGACTCTATTTCATTTCATTTAATTTATTTTCATTTATAAAGCACTTTACCACCACGGTCACAATGGTTCAAGTGCTGGACAAAAAACAACCAAATAATAAAACATAGATAAAAACTCTATAAATAAGATGGATCTAAAAACATACCAAATCAAAATGAAAATTCATAAAGCATAAAAGATGACCTATGATACAGTGGCATGTCAACTCGCCCACACAATACTCTAGAAAGCTGAGCAAAAAAAATAAATAAATAAAAAGAAGGTGCTGTATGAAATATAGACCTTTTACCATACAGGCAATTTTGCTTGTTCAAAATGCACCATGTTGCACAACAGAAGCATGAGTTCTGCTGCATTTCAAGGTGAAATCCATCCAGATCTACAATACCACTTTTATCTGGATAATTCAAAACCATCTGAACACAGTAACATTTTTCTCCAGAGTGAATTTTACTGTTTTCAGTTTGAAATACTACAAAACATGTTTGCCTTCCACTAGAGCTTAGTACTTTTAAGGAACAATGTACTTATCTAGCTACTTTTGATTTTAAGTAGGATTATCTCCTTTAGAAGTGCTGAACACATCCATTACAGAGGCAAAACAGAAAACAGCCATGCACGTTTGCACTGACCCTGCAGTCCTACAAATGTGTGCTTGCTAGGGATGCCAAAACTCACCCAGGCATAGGAAGAACATGAAAACACCAAACACAAGGAGCCCAAGCAAAGTTTAAATTGAGTTTCTTTTTACTGAAATAAAAATACCATTTTCAGAATTTCCCATTCACCAAACCAGCATTCTTGTGTATTCTCAGCAGTCTCAACACCCTGACAGGACCAGGTCTGTGTGCTTTCAAATGTATTTAGGCTAAGGATTAGCACATTTAACAAGTTCACAGAAGTACACAGTTCATAAAAACTGAAAAACATATTAAATCAACAGACCACACCTTTTGTGTCCTCACATAGCTGCTGTGGGAAGATACAGAAAGACGTGTCACTTGTTGGGGGAAAGTATTCTAACCTGACTGGAATGATTAGATAGTTCACACAACCTTTTTTACTCCTCCTCAGTTTGCAGTATGGAAACGGCAACAAAAATAAGCGTAAATTAGTAAAAATGTACAATTTGGATGGCATCATGTTGTCCTGATCTAGTATTCTTTTATCTTGGCAATGCAGGCTAGATGCTTCTGAGATGAATTGCTGCCCTAGCTGTCTCAGAACAACAATAGCCAAGTGTTACAACCTGTCATTTACATCTATAATGTGTAGATAACCCAATACAGCTGTCATCTTTGACCAGTTCCCCTGATTCAATAACATATGCCAACCCAACACTGTCTCCCTGGCTACCCCCAGTATCTTAAACACATTCCTCGTCTGCTCAGAGTACCTTACACAGTGCAAATATACATATTTAACCATTTCCGGTTCCCCACAATCACAGGCCCCATCCTGACGGCTCCTAAACTGGGGAACCGCCAGTCCCACTGCCACCCTACCACTCTCAGGAGCCTTTAAATCATTTCTATAAAACTGTTAATATGAACCCCACTCAGACCGCAGATGTTCCTGAAAGATCCCAGCATTTCTAATTCCTAGGCCACCACTCATGTAATGTCAGGGTAACCACCGCTGTAGACAGACGCCAAGGTGAGACACCCGGCCTCAGAACTGGGGGACACACCAACCATCTCCTGAAACCTAAATCATCTGCCCACTCACATAGCTAACCAACAACGTTCTCCTACCTACCAGACCCCTCAAACTCCCACAGACGGTCCAACATGGGCTTCACTGGGGAAGTCGCACCTTGTCCTTTCACCTTCATGAGATATTGAAGTCCAAGCTTGATCCTTCTTAAATCCAACAGCATCTCTTCTATCTCCACCTAAAGAGCCAAATGTGAGGTTGATGGCCCAGCTACATACCTTCAAGGCGTTACCTTGAACAGCATTCAGTATTCTCAAATTTGTAGAGGGTGCAGGCCCATAGAGCAAGTATCCATAATCAAAAACAGGTCTTAGCACGGCATCTATATCATCGTTAAAGAAAATGATAAATCCTAACTGACTTGAGTATACAAGGGATGGTACCCTCTGCTTACCTAATGTGTCTAGACATTAACTAATCTATGTGAGCAAATGCATAAAGTACCCCAAGCTGACCTTTTCCACTACATACCTGTCAACTTTCTCCACTTGAAACTCTTAGAACGCAGCCAAAATCAGAGGGAGCAAGAGCATGAGAACCCAAGGTGATTGACAGATGCCCTCACCAGCTGATTGGCCAACCAAAACCACAGCAACCAATAGAAAGCAGATATGGGAGGTCCTTACAGATCATAGGAAGCCTGCACATGAGAAACATAATATAATCAGTCAGAGTGAAAGACAAATAAAATCAATCAGCAGTGCTTGGCATGTAGCACCCCCACCCTTATAAGCCCAAGCTTGGCCTTGGTTAAATAGCCCCCAAAATTCCTTGACAGGGCCCTGGGTGTGGAGTGTTGAAAGTGATCTGAGTTGTATCAAATATAATAAATATTACATGCTTATACAAAAAGGTGAAAAGGTATAGTAGGATCAACATACCTACATTTTCCTTTTCCGATATTTTCCTTTTCCGACTTGTTTTGTTTTCTTGTTTTTTATTTCACAATTTTTTTTTTTACAATCCTGTCCCTCTCTCATTGTCCTGCATCTCTTCTCAATTCTCCAGGAAAAAAAAACCTGCTGCATGGCTTCTTACTTTTTCACCTGATTTATTGTTTTGGTTTCTAAGCAGATCAAAGAGGTCTACCGACTGCAGAAATAGTGGAGTGCGCGCTGCCCAGCCATGTCAGTGAGATGAAGTCACCGGAGCATGGATGATGAGCTCCACTGCAGTAGCGGAGCATATCAGGCATGAATAAAAACACCTTAAGTACCAGTGAATATGAACAGACATGAACTATCGTGTTAATTATAAGTCTTTGGAATGTTTATTATGTGAAGTGCCTTGAGATGACTCTTGTCGTGATTTGGCGCCATATAAATAAAATTGAATTGAATTGAATGTGCCGTGCACAGGACGCAGCTGCTTGGAGCGCATCAACAATCAGCGTTCTACCCCTGTCTGCTCAGAAGAATTCTGGTATGCTGAGAGTTCATATCAATATTGTAATTTAGGTAGAAAAAGGGTCTTTTTTTCTGGCTCCCCTGGGTATGTAAGTTCAGGGCTTCCAGCTCAAACCCTGGTCCTGGATGAAAACTCGGACACTTTCATCAATATAGGAACCCTTTCTTTAATGCCCCGGACAGAGAGGACGTATGGTCACCTTAGTATATGCAGCGGCTAAGTCAGCCTCTCATCCATGCACACACCCAGACACTTGCAGCTATATACTTTATTAAGTGCGAGTGAACCCAATGCATCACTGGTATCAGGTATCTACCTCTTATTCCCAAACACCAAATTTGTCTTGTTGATTGAACGTTTGAAGTCCTATCGCGCCCATCGTTGAGCGACCACATGTAAACCCACACAAGTAAGAATCAATGTAACTCTTAGTTTCAAGACTGTAAACCAGCCTGACAGATATCTAGCCTGGCCTGCCAAACTCGTCCTCTCTTTATGTCTGCACAGAGAACTAGTCTGGTCACTCACAGGCAGAGAGGCACATGAGGGGTGGGACTAGCCAGCTCAAAAACAACCAATCAGAAAAAAGGCGGAAATGCCGACTGTACTGCAGAACACTGTAGTTTTTTAGCTGAAGTCATGAATGGCATCTGGCGACATTGCAAACATCTTTTAGTTTTTAGAAAAAAAGGCTTTTAGCGCTTCTTCTTGTTGTGGTTTTAAAGACATGTTCAAGTCATTTAGAACAGAGGAAAGAGCTGCAGAGAACTCCGCTTCAGACACCATCTTCATTGTTCATGAGAAACTCAGCATTGTGTGTGTGTGACGTACACTGCTCAGCGATGATTTGCTCAGTTAGAATTCTCAGGCGGTGGGGTTATAGAAGAGTACCCAGCCCCTTGCTACCCATAAGGAAGCACAATTTTGAAATTACAGAAATACCAGCTTGAAAAGAAGCTAGTGGAGAAGAAGTTGGTGAACAGAATATCACGTGACAGTTGGTCTGATCAGATGAGTTATCAGCTCATTAACAGAAACCACTGAGCCCACTTACCTCAGGTTCAGAGTGACAGAGTTCCAGAGTCTGGGGTCCAAGGCAGTAAATGATGTGTCATCTTTGGTCTTAGCCTGGTGCGCTGCACAACCACTAGACCTCAGAAACCTGCTAGGGGTGCAGGGACTGAGAAGATCACCAATGTATGATGAAACTTTGCCATATAAGGGTCCTAAAACTAGAACCAGGATGTTGAAATGGGCTCTGTAGTTAACTGGCACAGGTAGAATCAGCCAGTGGCAGCTCACTAAATATGCAGCTCACTGACAAATAGGAAGCAGTGGGATAAACATCTTCTCAGACCACAGCTCAGACCTGACAAAGATTCAGCGGCAGCACGAGAATCGCCATGAACACACTTGATTGAGAGAGGAACCCATGGCAGCCATGCTGCTCAGTGAGAAGAGTACCAAACTGTGTGCTTCATGTCAGAGTCTTCGAAAGCAACACTACTCATGTCTACTTTTGTTTAAACGCTTGTGTTGCCTTCAAATGAAAACACAGATGTCCCCGAATCACTTTAGCAGGGCCTGCCTATGTCCTGCCCACGTCATGCGACCAATATTTCTTGCTCAAAAAAAATTTTTATATTTAATTTTTCCACAGACACGGTCACTCCCATCTGTTTTTGACTTCACCTATTGTAAGCAAGTGTGGAGAAACACTTATCGAACCACTACAAACTCACTACTAATACTGAAGAAGTGAGCAGTGTGATTCATTAACAAAAAAGGGGTTTTAAATTGTACCCATCACTTGTTCATTCACTCCGGGTTGTTTAAATTTCCGAATCTTCCGGCTGAGAGGAAAATGTGACCATCTAAAAAGTCTGTGCTAGCTGAGTACGCCTCTGGGGTTTCCCCTGGTTTTAAACTATACAGCTGTAACAGCGAGCACGTGATAGGAGAGGAATGCTGGACCGAACCAAGTGCACAGGGTGGCACATCTGGTTGTTTTATTGTTTTTGAGGTGCTGCTATGGCTGTAATATGATCAGCATTTGGTGTATTTTTGTGAGGAAAAACATTCAGGCAGCCCATAAAAGCATTCAAGTAGCTAATGTAGTTAAAGGAAAACGAATTCATGCAAAATAAAACAAGTCTTATCTTTGGCAGAATTTTGCATGCTTTTTTATTTTTATTTTTTACAGTGCGTTGTGTTCTGCATCACGATTAGGGCACTGAGAGTGTTTAAACAAGAGAGAAAAGTGTGAAAATGTTAATACCTGTCTGAAAAAAGTATACAAAGTGTGTAGTGAGGGGTTTTACAGTCCTAAAACGTCTACAATAATTATATAAAGTCAAGCTGGCTACTTTTCAGATTTCACTTTTTCCAGGTTATGTGTAGAACGGACCTCCTGCAATAAAGGAGGAACCGCTGAACAATGTAGCTATAATCTTATATTATAAAGCGTACAATAACCTACTGCCTGACAATAGACAAAAGTTGTTTACTACTGTAGGCAGATATCACTTAAGAGGATACAGATATTTTCTAATCCCCAAAGTCTAAAGTACACGAAAACGTTTTTGTGTGTCAGCGGCGTGAAACTGTGGAACAGTCTGGGCACACACCATGAGTAACCCCAAAGCCTCCATCAATTTAAATAGTTAATGTACTGCCATGTCCAAATATATGAGGAGGGTCCTAAATATGCATCTGTAGTTATAAATTATGTTTGTGTCAAAACTTTCAGTTGCTATTTCTTAATTTAGTAATTTGTCCCAGTTGTTGTCTCTGTCACCAGTATTAATTGTTATCATTGCTGGTAAAAATTTTGTAGGTATCTGAATTTTTACCATTATATTTATGCCAGTTTGTCAACAGTACCGGGTACTACTGTGATATTTATCAGTATCACTATACAGAGGGCTGCCTACTTTTGAACATTTCAAAGAGAGAGACTGGGTCATGGGGTTTGGGGTGAGCGGGGTGGGGGGGTGGGGGGTGGGGGTAATGTTGAGACTTATGCCCGTCCCATCAAGAGCAGGTGGAGCATACTGCTCCTCCCATCTCACAACCAGAGCGGAAAAAAGAACATCGGCTTGGATTATACAGATGGGATTCTGTGTGTGAAATAACGCCAGTAAAATGATTATATAAGTGTTGTTTGTGTGCTTGTTGTTCAGTTGCTAATGCTAAAATTAATATAATCTGGGTTTTTTCATAAGCCCTACACACTGTGCCTGATGCGCGTTTGGGGAGTGCAGGCGCTGGTTTAGCGTGAGAGATTGGAGGTGTGGCGTGAGAGCATGTGAAGAGGGTCTAATGCGGGTGTCTCATGCTCAGTGCGTGAGAGTTGGCAGCCCTGACTATACATGTGAACAGCAGGGATGCAGACAGTAAATGTGTGTAAATGTGGGTGTGATTAAATACATTTACTTATTCCCACTCCTTTTCATGCACTAAGTACGAGTGCTCATTAATTATGATTGTGATAAGTCCCTTTTTTACAGGTGGTTTGTCACCTTCTTGGAAATGTAACACAATAATTAAATGAGAAATAAATGAACAAATAAACATGAGTTTTATTGATCCAAAGAGAATTTTTCATATTGCTTTACAGTTTCGAGTAGGTGTAGTTAACATTTCCTTTACAGGAGTTGAAGATGATAGCATCAGAAGAAATATACATTTGTCTTAGTTGACTAAAATTGTTTTCTGTTCTACTTGAATAAAATAAGACTAAAGTTTCAAGTAATTGGACAACTAAATTGGGAGTAAAATGAAAAGGAATTTTAGTCAAGACTAAAACGAAAATAAAATTTATAAAAATTTACAGTGCTTCCAAGAGCATCCAACCATCAGAGTTCACACCACCAACTGCTCTCTTCTTGCCCTTGACTCAGCATAGCTTCTTTTTTTTTTGTCATTGGTTTCTAATCGTCTATAAGTTTGTATTTGGTTTTTATTTCCCACCATCCCACCAACCGTTTACAGTATTCTAGACTTTTTAAACTCTGCCTTGGAAGATTAAAGTAATGCTTCTCAGCCAACCTTCAATAAAATATAAAAACACAAACAAAGACAATGATGCAGTTTGCAAATGCTAAGATCCCAGTTTCCACAGTTATCTGTTACCCATGCAATGTAATTTTGTCTTTGTAAAACCACCAAAGCTACAAAGTCAGCTGTTAAGTAGCTCTAATCCCTCACATTTAAAAAAGTTTTTGTAAAAAAAAAAAAAACTAATATTAAAACACATCCAGCTACTTTTTCTAAATCAACTAAGCAAGGCATGCTCATGAATTACAGCAAGCACAACGAGGCTGCTGATACAATAATCCGTGTCCCATGGATCGATGTAGATCACTGGCTTGATAAATGGCATGCTCAAATCCATAATTTACGTAATCTACAAAAAGTACAAAGCCTGGACTCTTTTGTGTTTACCTTCCCAGGAAATCCGAATAAATCGTTTTTAACTACAATCAGGCAACGTTGTTAAAGTCTCTAGCCCTTGGTACCTTCCAAAGCTGCAGTTTTTTTCACAACTGAAGCGTTACACATCTCTGCCAAGGTGTTGAACCTTGGCCCTAGATGATCCAGAAAGGACAAATTTCCATCCAGGATGTCGAATGCCAGCTCATCCAGCGACCCACATCGGCTCCCTTCTCCTTCATATGCAAACTTAATGGGATTGTTCTCTTGTCCAACTGCTTCTTCTCGAGAAGTTTTGTCAATACTCTGTCGAATTTAAAAATGAAAAAGTCACATTGAGATTGAATTTAAATGCACTCAATTTAAAGGTTTGGTGCTGTCTTACATTTTCCACCAGTATCTGGAGATGGGGATTTGACGACACATACCCTCTGTATGTCAAGGTGCTGCTCTGCTGAGAGATAGAGATATTATTCTGTATATTTGCAAAGCGAACAGCTTCTTTGAGTTTACTCGCTTTTTAAAAATTGTTATAGGGGTTTTACTTACTTGTACTGTGCTCCTCTTGCTGCCAAGACCCATTGAAAACTAAAAAGGAAACTAATGTTTAGACATATTTTTTACTTCACTTTTTCTGGCAATGAAGCCACAGTAAAAATATAATGATATATACAACATACCAAAATATAACACCAATAAAATTTTGAGGGTTCAAACAGCCTCTTGCAATTTTAGCAAGACAATTTCAATCAATGCCAATTAATAGTATAAAAGTGATTTCCTAATGTCATACAGTCAAATGAAGACTCACTCTTGATGAACAATCATAGCTTGATCTTGAGCGTCTTTGTTGTTGTGTGCTTGTGTCCATGCCCATACTCATGCATGAGTTTATCTGCTGGGGTAAATGCTGTAAAGTTCAAATAAAGTGTAAAAGATTGATGAATACTTATGTTAATGTTTAGATATTTACTTATACCTCTTGTTCATTTTACTGAGGGCTAAATCATTTTTACAAGATGAAATGTTGACAAGGTTTTGTTTCAAACATTATTTTATCAAGCTTCAATTTGAAAGGGTGTTTTAGAAACATGTTACTCACTGTGGCGATGTCCTGCCTCTCATCAGACCACAAATGATCAACTGTCTTAGTTTTCTAGAAGAGAAGGATAAATCCGGCTATCATGATTGCTGTTTAACCATTGAGAATTTGCATGCTTAATGTTTGCAAAAATATACTTATTACAGCATAGACATGGTATATGGTTTTTAATGGTACCTTTTTCATATTGTATTTTTAGTTGTTTTTAATATTGCTTTTTAATTCAAGCTGGACCTTGAATCTGTAATTTCTGTGTGTCTGTATGACATATTTTTAAAAACCCAGTGTAAAAATGTATTTCTCTCTCTCTCTCTGATTTTGGTGTGTCCAAATTAACCTAAGTTTATTCTTAAAGAACATTTTGAGTGGGTGGGTGTGCTTGGCAAATGGGTTGTGCAACTGTCAGAATTGTTTTTATATTTGTGGGGAAGGGATGGGAATGGGGGTTATATTGGGTCATTTTAATCTGTTAAACACGTTGAAATGCCTTTTCTTTTGTATGAAAAGTGCTATACAAATAAAGTTAGATTTATGTTTAAAACTGCTTGACAGCTGACAATGTGGGCAACAACAGTGACCTGGAGAGGCATGGTTGAGAGGAACGGCCACCTTTTATTTGAATCCGAACGTTGTTTTATTATTTGCCTTCTGTGCTCATCTTGGATTGTCAATAATGAACACCATATTCATGCATGAAGGTGTCTGCATGTGATCTTAGCATCAGAATACCATAGGCTGCAGTTCTACAATTGACTTTGTTGTTGTCTCATCACATCTGCGGCCACATGTCTTGGACACTCAGAAAAAGAGAGGGGCGGAGCTGTCACCTGACCACTACCTGGTGGTGAGTTGGCATCAATGCTGGAGGAGCATGCCGGTCAGACCTGGCAGGTCTAAATACATTGTGTGGGTCTGGTGGGAATGTCTGGCAGAGTACTCTGTCAGAAAGAGCTTCAATTCAAATGAAAAAATTAAATTCTGAATTTTGAACATTTCCCAGTGTAGGCGGGTGACATTGAGTCGGAGTGGGTCATGTTCTGTGCTTCCATTGTCAAAGCAGGGGTCCGCCGGGAGTATGGGGTACCAGGCCCTTTGATATGGGTTGTTAGGTCCCTGTAGGACCTGTGCCAGAGCTTGTTCCACATTGCCAGCAGTAAGTTGGGCTTGTTTCGGGTGAGAGCTGAGCTCCATCAAGGCTGCCATTTGTCACAAATTCTGTCCATAAACAGGATTTCTAGATACATACAAGGTGTTGAGAGGATTTGTTTTGGTGGCTTAAGGATCAGGTCTCTGCTTTTTGCAGATGATGTGGTCCTGCTGACTTCATCAGACTGTGAATTTGAACTTTCGCTGGAGTGGTTTGCAGTCTATGGGCTTAAATTGGAAAAGGGTAGAACGCCTATTCCAGGTCAGGGACAAGGTCATGCTACAAGTGGATGAGTTTAAGTATCTCTGGGTCTTGTTCATGAGTGAGGGAAAGATGGGAGTGCAAGATCAATAGGCAGATTGGTGCTGCATCAACAGCAATGTGGGTATTGTACCAGTCTGTCGCGGTAAAGAGAGACTTACCGGTCGCTCTACATCTCATCTATGTGTGACAGAGTGAGCATCCTGTCACAGTGTCCCGATTGGTCATGCGCCCTGGCTACTTGGCCAAGGGGATGTCCCTTTGGCTGACTGGTAAGCGCGCATGACTCACCCTGGAATCTGGGGATCGAATCCCGCCCGGGCCCTCGTTTCTCCCCCTTGCCACGTATGGTCACAAGCTTTGGGTAGTGACCAAAAGAATGAGCTTGTGGATACAAGTGGCCAAAATTAGTTTTCTCCACAGAGTGGCTGGGCTCTCCCATCTGGAAGGGGCACATTGAGGTGTTGAGGTGGCTTGAGCACCTGGTTAGGATGCCAATGCAAATATGCCAGGATATGTGTAATTTGGGTATGCCTGTTTGTATTGGCTAAGAAATGCACCCCCATATTCTGGATTTTTTGGAGACATTTCAAAGTGGTTTAACTTTTTCCAGTTAAAATCGAGTTAGCATGTGGTGGTGATGTAAGTGTTAATGAGATCTTTTCAGCCTGCGCTCAAGTGGGCTAACCAGTGAAGCCGATAAGAACAGGACTTGATAGTGACAATGTTGTGAGGAAGTCCAAGTTACATGCATTTCCTGTGATTGATAACAGCTGTGTTTTTGTCCATTTGTGTACCTGCAAATTATTTAATTAAGAACAGAAACAACGTCAGTGATTAGGCGCCCCTCTGCTTCTTAACTCCACCCCACCCCCTCTCACACACACACACAAATAGCGCTTCAAAGCACGCCCCCACGAGATGCTGGGGTGTGGTTGAAGCGGATGGTTTAATACATGAGCCACAGATCTAAGTTGTGTTTACTCATGAAAATTCTGTAGAATATTATTGCAGTAACGAGCATCAGTGGAGCTAAGTTCTGGTGTAACAATAATGTGATGTGCAGCTCCTGTCTAACGGGGACATCGGGTATAACCAGGCCCCGACTGGGGAAATTCCCGGTAGGCCGGTCTGAAGTCAGTGTTTTACATGTGTTTTGTCTTTTTGTGTTTAGTCATGGCTCTGATGTCACCTGCTGATGAGAGGATTTCCTATATCAGTGTGGAAGGAACAGGTGAGCTGCTGCCAAAAGGCTTTAGTTTCACTAAAAACATTTTAGTGAGCTATTATTTATAATTTGTGTCTCTTATGTGTCTGCATACCCCTCTGAAAGTACGTAGTTGCGCCCCTGGTTGGAGGGACCGGTGGCGCCAATTTTCGGCAGTCTTGCTTCCGTCAGTGTGCCCCAGGGCATCACCAGCGAGTGAATGCATGTATGAATTGGTGGATGACTCATTGTGTTGTGGAGCACCTTGGAGGGTTGTCAAACCCTAAGAAGGTGCTACACAAATATGGTCCATTTACCATTTACAATTCTATGAACCATCACAGCAAGCTAAAAACATCACATCTATGTAAGATGACTGCTGTACCCACAATGCCTAGATAAAACTCTCAAGAGTGCTAATATCAGATATCACAAGAAGTTTTTTTTATTGAGTACCTGCACAAAGCTCTGCTTGATGCCATCTGTCACAGTTCCACCACTTGCTTGTATTAGGTGAACAGGTTCAGCCTAGCAGAGAAAGGAGAAAAGAGAAAGGTGATTGCATTTAGAAAACATTTGTTTTAGTCATGAACTTGTCACAATCACTTCACAACTAACTGACCTTGCAGTCAACGCTCATTCCTTCTTCATTGTAATGGATTAGTGACTGCTGGCCCTGGTCCTCAAAAGACTGGAACTTTTGTTTTTGTTTGTAGCAAACAATAATGACCAGCAGTACTGCAGACACATCAAAATACAACTTCATATTAAATCCATGGTTTAGAACTAATGTTAATAACATTTGGAACTACAATCATACATGTGTAAATGTGTACCTGATCATTTCATGCCACATTCTCATCAATTTAAAACACAGCAGATCTTGAGTATCTCTTTGGCTGTGCATTTTAACATCTGAGGTATGCATAATACCAATAGATAACTTACAGTAATTACCGTCCCAATGTTTGTGAAATAGGGTCGTTGAAATGTCATCAAGTTGATTTAAGGAAATGCATATAGATGACAATTAAGCAAAACCATTCCATTGCCTAATGTGTTTCTTGTGACAATTTTAATAGTGTTAGATTTGGAAAGAAATAATTAAACATTTGGAAAAGGTATTTAGTTTTGTTTGTTTGTGTTTGTTGTTACTGTGTCTAGATTATTTGGGTTTAATGATTGTCATACTCACACAGAAATAAAAGCAGTCCAAGGATTATTGTTCCAATGGCAGCATCACTGACATTAGTTGAACATGGATTTATAGTCCTGACACAAACGTCTCCTCCTCCACAATCACAAACCTCCACCTCCAACGTCTCGTGTCCAATCATATTCTGTTTGTCCTGAATCAGCAGAGGAATGGAGTAATTACCCCTCTCAAGTGACTTCAGAGCAACAAGGCCAGCTTGTTCCCCTGGTAAAGATGTAAGGATGTGTGTCAGTGGCTTTTCAAGTATCTTTAATTTTGTTTTATCAATAAGTATTTAAAGGAGTTTTGGACCAACCATGAGCAGGGTCAAGTTTCCACAGCCGTTTCAGAGTTTTATCATCCTTCAAGGTGAAGATGAAAGGTCCACTGAATGGCTCTGCATCACTGTCCTCAGCAGGCACCATGATCTTGATAACTTTGTTATCACAAAAGATCATACTTGAGTTGACCAGCTTAGGGGTGTTGTCATTGATATCCCTGAGGTGGACCTTGATGGTGCAGGTGCTTGTGGCAGGAGGTGTGCCTTAGAAACCACAGCAGAGGGAAAGTAATTTAATTTCATTTATTTATTTGCACTTAATGAAAATTGTCAAGTGGTTACGATATTTGTTTGAACCATCTCATACCGTCATCTATAGCAGCAAAAGCAACTCGGTAAATATTGTTTTCATCAACAAAGGGTGACTCTCGATTCATTTTCTTGGTTGTTGTAAGTTTTCCGTTTTTTTCATCAAGAGACATCCAACCAGCTGGATCTTCTACCATGACAAATCTAGGCACATGAAAATCACCGTTACCAATATGGTAACCAAATCAGGTAGACAATAAGCACATCATTTCACCTAAACGTGTTGAGCAGTAGATGATAAGCTGCATACTGCAAGTCAGTGGTGTACAATCGTGTTCCTTGAGGTCAACTATTTTGCATGTTTTAGTAGTTTCCCTGCTCCAACATTTATGCATCCATGATTAATTAACTGTTTGGAAAAGTCATCATGTTATGCAGAAGATAGTTAATCATCCACTCATTGCATCATCCACACACACGCACACACACATCTACATTACATATATACCAACTAGTGTTTCTATGGTTACATTGTGATTTCTTAGTAAATATTCTATTCAGTAAGAGATATATTTACTTGTATTTATCTTAGTGAATCTATAATGAATTCAACAGGTAAACTAGTAATGGTAATTAAGTAGGTGGAAAATTAGCTTTATCACATAACTTGTTTTAAAATTTATAAAAGAAACATGTGACCAACATGAATTTGATATTGCAGCATGGCTGATTTTGTGTTATTGGTGGATTTGGAAGAGCATGCACTCATTAGGGAGCGTGTAATCCATGAGCTCACTGATCTGATTCCTGAAGGAGATCCTTCTGAAGCTATGCTGTGATTTGGGACCCTTTGTGGAGCCACAGACAAACCACACTAATCCAATTTCAGTCCATGGTAAATTTTTAAAAACTACGAGATCCCCCCAGAACCTCCTCCCACTCTGCTCCCCAAAAACACACGTGTTGCGAAGTTAACCAAACTGAATGACAGCTCAGAAGAGGCTGCACTCTAAAACATTTCAAAAGAATAAAACTAATTCCAAACAGAACATGCATTTAACTCCTTACATCATTTACTGCCATTGTCGACAAAGGTCGTCATTTAAAATACAACAGCTTGCTGCCATTGCCGACTAAAGTTGTCATTTGCATTTTTTTCCTGGTCGGAACGAGCCCCCACATCGTGAGAACAGACATCACAGCTCTAGAGATGGTCTTCATCTGCATACGTCACACGATCAGAAAGCAGAAAATCCATGCCTTAGGAGATCATTTTGAGCCACTGCTGTGAAAAAAGTGAGGCGTGAACTGGAAAAGCTTCTCCCGATCTCCCGATCACAATTCGACAAATTAAATATTTGTCATAAAATTTTCTAAAAATTGTTTGCCTCTGAAATGTACATCCATCCATCCATTATTGTCAGCATATCTGAGGTTGGGTCATGGGACAGCGGCCTAAGCAGAGACGCCTGACTTCTCTCTCCCAAGCCATTTTGGCCAGCTCATCCAGGGGAATCCCAAGGCTTCTAGCCAGCCGTGAAACATAGTCCGGTGTGTTAGGGTCTCCTTCCAGTTGGATTTGCCTGGAAAACCTCACTTGGGAGGCGTCCAGGAGGCACCCTAACCAGGTGCCCAAGCCACCTCAACTGGCTCAATGTGGAAGAGCAGTGGATCTAATCCAGTACTTCCTCAGCTACTCAGCAGATGCCAGACTTCACACAATCTTGCAACATACCGAAGTTAAATTTACCTCTCTTTATCTCTCTTTCAAACAGACAGCCAACTAAACAAGTAGATGTTATCTCTTCTTCTTGCTTAGAAGACATGCAGCATGTTGAAGCATACCTGACATTGGATGAGTCGATATCCTGAACCTTTGGAGTGTAGAGCACCTGTCCTGGCTCCGACTCTTCTACCTGATACACCTCTTTTGTTTGTTCTTCAAAAACAGGTGCATCATTGGTATCGAGCATTTTCACTGTAACATTGACTGAATCTGGAGGTGGGAGCAGCTTTGGATCTTTAATCAGTTTATTATCTTTACAAATGGATAAGGGTTCAACATTTTCAGCTCCGATTGTCAGGTTCACCAAAGTATTTTGGTTGTAATTCTTCTCCTAGAAAAACAAACCAGTTGTGATCAGAACAAATGAAATTGTTGTTGAGGGCATGCATTGGATTATTAATTTGAACTGAGTACATATTTTAGTCAGATGGAGAGCAGCTGTTACCTTGACAACACTCAGAATACACTCATTAGTTTTTGGGTCAGTTCTAAGGCTGTAGATTTCTTCTTCATTGCCACTGATGAAGTAGTACTTGGCCTTCCAGCCATCAGTGTTTGGAGCATCCTTGTCCTCTACTGCAATTCTCAAAATATCATCATGGGTAGTCATTTCCACAGCCTCAACTTCGTACTACAAAGAAATAAAGTCGTTTCAAACATATTCTGAATTCTAGAAACAAAATGTAATAATGACATAAAAACGTGCCTGTTTCTGCTTGAACTTTGGAGCGTTATTGTTTTTGTTGACAATATTGAGCATAATAACTTCAGTGGTGGAAAGAGGTGGCTTTCCATGATCACTTGCTGTAAGTTTTACTTTAAACTGCTTTGCTTTCTGAAAAAAAAACATAATTGTTTTAAGGTAAGCCATATCAGCATGGGACTGCATAGCCATGAACCAGCTGTTATTCTGGATTAAATAACATTCTTATCCTTACATCATAGTCAAAACATCCTTTGAAAGTGAGTCGGGCCATTCTGTCATCAATCTGTGTGACATTAATCTTAGGCTCTGCCGGGTTCTGAGAAACCACACGAATTGAGACCTTTGAATTGTCCGTTTTCTCCATGTCTCGATCAGTGACCTCCATAGATGCAGGCAGGAATCCTTTTACAAGGTGAACAAGAAAACCAGGAAAAGAACACATCAAACTGGATCAAAGTGAATTGAGGGAACAGGTAGGATTTAAAGAGCAAATTGCAAGTTAGAGCCTCCATGAACTAATGTTTGGAGAAACATAATAGAAACACGTTTAAATTCTTATTTTTACAAATGAATTAATTGTTTAGGCTTTTTGTGAGAATATATATATATATATATATATATATATTTTTTTTTTTTTTTTGCCAAATCAAGTGACGTCAGCAAAGGGAATCCGGTTAGCTTAATCCAGTGAAAAATATGGATTCTAACATAAAAATTTTATAACTATACTTACGATGGACCAAGACCATAAAGTTATAATGCACTTCCCAGAGAGCATAGACAAACCAGAGGGAGAAACCATCGGCCAAAGCAGAGAGGTTGAGCTGCGATGTGAAGAGCAGCAGCTGGGGAGCAGCAGGTGTCTTGTGAGTTAACGATGCTAGCTTAAACTCGTGTGCTCACATCACAAGCCCAGCACAGACCTCTCTGACCCGGTACCGACCGATGTGGGCTACAGAAGTCTGTCTTTTCAGCTGCGCAAAACGCCCTCAGGCATGGAGATAGAGGCGTTGTTTCTCTTGTCTGGAAACCCGTGGACTTGATGTCCAGACAGGCTGGAGTTGGTACAACCTTCACAAACTATAGTTTATCAAAATGAACACAATCCAGATCTAGCAAACACACACACACTGACTGGATAACATGACCTCTCTACCCTGAAACTACCCACTCTCACACTGAGCTGAGGCAGCGCCGAACTTCTTACTCCTTTGGTTACATCAGAGGTTCAGATTTAGAAAAAAGAGCCTTTTTAGAAGCTTTGCTGAGAAAGGCCACTTTTTACTGTAAAAACTGCTGTTATACAAAATATCCACAATAAGCATTTCAAATAGTATTTTTGGACAGCAGTTTACATGAGTCAGAAAAAAATTTAACCTGCAATTTGCTCTTTAAGTCTGATTCTGTTAGACCATGTAATAACCCTCACAAGTGGTTATTTAAAGGTCTCAATATCAAACCGCAAGCAGAAAATCCTCCTTTTGACAAAGCTGTATACTCACCTTCCTCTGTGTTTTCATCCACATTTACTGTTTTGTTAAAATTGGTAAACATCGGTGCTTTGTCATTTATGTCCTTTACTTCTACATCAAAAGATAGCTCCCTGTCCATTTTTGTGTTGGTTGATTTGTCCCAGACATCAAATGTGATCTGTGGATTGAAATACTCAGGTAAAGCATTTTACAGGAGTCGCACATCATATTAGACATTAACTGTCAGAAGGAGGAATTATCTCATATCTGCTCACGTGATAAATCTCTTTCTCCTCCCGATCAACTTTTCTGTGCACATAGACGTCTCCGGTTGTATCATTTATGGAGAACAATCCGTCATGAACACCGTCTCCACTCATTTCAAACTTATATTTCTTCCCTATAGTTTTGTCATTGAACATCTAAAAGAAACACTGAGCTGTTAGTTTTAGCACATTTCATTTTAATGGAAAAGAGAGCTGTCAGACTCTGACCAGTTAATAAGATGGTTTATTTACCGTTGAAATTTTGAATGGGTATTCCACCTCCATGTTCTCTTCTAGTTCAATCGTGGACAGGACCCATCTCCTTTTAGAACGCAATAAAACATCCTAATGTAGCCCAGATGAGAAAAAGAATAAAATTAGTAGATTCTCTCTTCAGCAGAAAATGTAGAATTTGGTTTTTAAATACTAAACATTTACCCGTTTCAATCGGCTGTGGTCCTTGCTACCACCTTGGGATTCTCCGATGGCTGCTAACGCAACCTTCATGGAACAGAAAAACAAAATTGTATCAGTGCTGCATTTAATAATGGGTGCTGCCTGCAACATTTCCTATTTAGGGTGGAGTTATTAAGTGTTTGTCTGTACAATTGTCTGTAAATTGGCAGCTTAAACAAGTTAAAAGGTGTAGAGCAACACATTATTAAATAGAAAAAGAAAATGTTTTGCTTATAACAACAAAAAAACACAACTGTGGAAAGACTGCATGGAATACAAGAAATGAAAAATCTACATTTATTGTTTAAAAATAACAATATTTGTTGTTTGTTGTTTGATTTAACAGAAAGTCTGTCAGTGATTTTCTTAGGATGTAATCCTCAAAAACAAAATTACAACTTGCTCACAACGCAGACAAAATCTGAAATTCTAAACTTTTCTTTCGAACAGATTAAACTCTTTAATAAAACTACCATAAGCATTTGACTCAATGCCGATGTCACACCTCTGACACCGACGTGCCAAAATCCACGTTTGGTGGTTTTGGTTTACCAGATAAAAGGAGTGAAGGCAACCTTTACTGGGGTCATTTTAATTTAGATCCCAGTATGAAATGTTTCTCTGAAATAATGTCCCATTGACCAGAACTGCTAGGTTCAGTAACAGCTCCATCTGTCGAGCTGAGAGAGCCAAACACAGCTTTCTACCTTCACCCCCACGTAAATGAAAACTGCACTGTGCACTTAAACTTTACACCGACTACTTTGGTGCTGTCTAAAATGTATTTCCTGTTGACAGCTACAATTTTCTTGTCTTGCAATGTTCTTTTTTAAACACAAATCAGAAAAAAAGGTTGTAGTTTGCTTGTTGTATATGTTGCACGAGGAGTCTGCACAAAAAGTCATTCCCCACCTTATCTTCCATCTAATGACTGCTTGGGGCATTTTCCTAAAACAGTCTGATGAACCACTTCCTAAATGAATAGATGGCTAAACCTGTCAACAGACAGCTTATTTACTAATTGAATTAGTCTGAGACAGCTCAGCAATAAAGGAGTCATTTAAAGTAAAAGAAACACTTGAAAGTTCTTATATAGATAATAAAGATCCTTATAGTTGAAAAAAACAAACATTTTCCAAACAAGTGGATTTCTTACAATTCTGATGCAAAAACTATGTAATTTGCATTCTTCTATAAAGGTCAGATATTTGTATTGGTAGAGTAAAGCTCCTAGTCACAAACTACAATATATAAAATATGTAAAACAAAAAGTATTTTCTTTTTGTTTCTTTCATGTAATCCTCTAATGATACAGGATGTTTCCATAAGTACTTTTAGTTCTAGTATTTTGAATAAAAAACGCATCTCAAACAACTGAAGCCTCAGTATGTGATATTTAGAGACAATTTAATATTTACTGTTAAATAATTGTTATTTAGAGATGAATGAATTATTCAAAATGTGCATCACGTACCAGCAGAAGCAGGAAAATCCTCATTGTGGTGCACACTGCTTACTATCCAGGACAGAAAGTCATTGACCGAGCAAGAATCAACATAGCTTAGACCTGAGAGAGCCAAGCCCACTTTACCTGCAGGGCGAGTGATTGGCTTAATGTGATGAAAACTAAGATTTATCTTGTGCATGCATTAGCGAGGTGGAGTGAGATGTGTAAAGATAATGCTTGATAAAACACTTTACTTCAAACATAAGACAAGGCTGGATTAGGAACATTTTAAAAGCATTACTGTGGGTTTGTGCATGGTGAGCACTGAGCTTGAACTTTTGCTGACTGGTTGTGCTTGGAAGTACAGCTTTGGTACAAGTGTACCCTCTAGGCCTGCAGCTCAGGTTACCATGTCCTATTTATGTCTAGGCCACATCAGTTTTATTCATGGATTGTTATTAGGTTGTTATTGGGGATAGATCACTACATTTACAAACAACAAACATACACTACACACACTAAAACAGCTGGTTTGAGCACTTTTTTTGAAGTGTCCAAAACAGTGACATTATTGAAGATCAGCCAGTAGATTGGGCTGTCTACAGCAGGGGTAAAACACCACATCTATAACCAAACGACACAGTATTTCTATTTGTGCAACATAAAAGTGCTTTACTTGTACAGAACTTAACCCAACTGTCTAATATTGTTTAACAAACAAACCAAGCTCCATCCTTTCTTATGTTACATAATCATTGGCTAAACATTGCATGGGTGGCACCAACAGTTTCTTAGAGTGTTTAACAAACTACTACATGATGAAACTGTACTGGTTACCCCAGATTTCCCCAGCCCGCATCACCCCCCACTACAAACCTTCACACAGAAGCCTAACTCCACAGCAGGAGCAGATGTGTTCCAATCAGTGGCAGGAGCTAAAAAGGAGAGGTGAAAGGACTGGAGAAGGTGCTGGCTTTCTGCGTATGGTGGTCTTGGCTCCTGACTGGTTCAGGCAGAGTCCTCAATCATCGTTGATCGAATGGACAATGATCCTGGTTATCTTGTCGTCGACCCAGAGCCCAGAATTCCACTAGCCTGTGCTCTGCACAAATGAGGGGAGAGAAGAAAAAAGCAGGAGGGGAAAACACATGTCCAGCAGATATTTAAACCTAACCCATATAAGTCCAAGCATTATGTTTTAGACAACCAAGGGGAGGAAACAAAACTACCACCACTTAAACAAATGAAAACACACATTGTAGGACAGCTTGGGTAAAAAAAAACTAAAAGTAAAAGTACAGTGCTCATGATAAGGCGTCAGCCAATACTTTTTCTGGTCCCTTCTTGTGACAGATTTTGAGGTTAACCCCCAACACACAATCTTTTGATCTAAACATGCAGAACAGGAACATGAGCGGGTTTTGGCCAGTAAATACCAAGATGGGGTTTGCAATCATATCTAGATAAACCCCAAAATGTCATAGTGTTAAGGTAAAAGCAAGGGTTTCTCTCTGTTAGAGTTAAACTTTCTAGAGAAATAACTCATGGGATGGTCAAAACTGTCTTTGTCTTCCTGCAGGACAGCACCAACCCCGTTTGCACTGATGTCCACTTTAACTGGTCAGCTAAAATCAGGGGCAGCAAGAACCAGAGAGCAATAAAGCAAACCTTTTATGCTTTCAAAGGCATTTTGGCTAACATCAGACCAAATAAATGGTCATGCAGGACTGGTGAAAGCAGTTAAAAAGGAGCAGCTACCATTGAGAAGATTTTACTGAACTGACAGTAGAATGCTGTCATTCTGAGGAAACAACATTCCATTTACTGAACAGAACCAGATGGTTTTTCATGCTTTTAACTTAAGCTGAGAGGACACACCAAGTTGATGGCTGAAATAGAAAATGATGCATTTTCCAAACTCTCACTTGGATCGGTTAAGTGTTAGTGAGATGGTTGAGAAGTGCTTGAAAATCTCCTGCAGAGATGCAATGACCGGCGCTTGTGGGTAGCCCAGTCAAATGGAGTACTAAATCATACAAACATGCTCTGCAGTTTGGATTGACACCTGGCACTTTGCTTACAAGCATCTGAAATGTAGATAGAGCATTACAAAGACCAAAAAGCATTACAGTATTCTGGAGAAAGATGTCACAATAGCAGACATTTCTGTGTGTCACTTTGTTGCAGGAAACTGCCAATAACTTTTCATGTCGAACTTTATGCTATATGTGGCCAGACCAATTTCATCAATGTTCATCAGCAAAGGTCACACCATTCCCTTTATGGATGTCTGAGAACCTGTGGCTTCCATGTAGCTTTAGTTCCAGGAAACAAGAAGAAGTCCACAGGCTACAGTTAGGTGTAGCAAATCCATTTTTAACAGCATATTTTACTTCTTTTTTCGTTACGTCTCTGCTAGGTTGACAAGGTATGCATGTTTTTTACAGTCATCAGACTGGTACAATATTACGAGACATCACTGTTGTTTGCGTAGGAACATCTCCAAACAGACACTGAATGTCTGAAGAGAGTTTCTGGATCTCCTTAGCTAGTTCACAAGACAAATGTGAGGTTAGACAATTTCTTGAAGTCTTGAAGTTTTACACGCCTCTTTGCACAAGACTACTGATCCATGTAATCATCAGTAGAACCTGTTACCAACAGGAGGGGGAGGACCCAACCTTACCTGGATGTCCTATGTCTTATATCAATCAAATCAAAGATACTTTATTAATCCCAGAGGGAAATTAGAGTTTCAGTACACACAATTCAGAGATCAGACATACATGGGGAAGACACATGACAAGAATTGGTGACTGTGATCATTCGCAACCCTGAGTTGCGCTACCTTAATAGAGAGATAAGAGGGTTACATGAGGAACTGATTCGGGAGGAGGGAAAAAAAGGCGGTGGGAGGGTAGCTGTGAAGTGAACAGCCATCTACGATGCTCAGCCACTGTAGCCACAGGTGGGAGGGAGTTGTGCAAATGCAGGGATGGGAGTAGATTTTCTGCAGGGGTGGGGCTGGGTTGGTGCCCTCGGACTCCATGAGGCTCTGTGATGCTGCTGCTTTGGGCCCTGGCAAGATGGGCTGGGGTCTCCATGCCCTGGGTGGCATTTTGGCAACAGAGGTGCCTATTGGGGCCAGTGGGGGAGCTGGCTCCCTGGAGGACTTAAGCCCAACCAGCCATTCCTCCCCATCCCCACACATTTTTCTCCTCCTGCTCCCTCACATCATCACACAAACATGCACATAGGACCTTGGGGGGTGGACAAGTCAGGGGGTGCGGTATGGACCCCATTTCCACATTCCTGTGGCAACCTGCCCCCCAAATTTATTTGCACCTTAAACACTTCCACCAACAACATTCCACGCAAACACACACTCAGGGCCTTGGGATTGAGCACATTCAACGACATTTGGCAGGGGGATTTTTCAGCCTCATCCCGAGTGCCGGTGCCTACTTCCAATTTTAAACTGCACTTAGACACTGAGGGCTGTGGTGCAAGTGAGGTGGTGTGGTGGCATCAGCTGGCGTAGGCCAGACAATGCCCGCACTGCCCGCTCACCACAGCCATGGAATACACCTCATCAACATGCACTAACACTATTTTGGAGCAGGCGGAGGGAGACTAGGGGTCTTAGCACACCTCTGTTGTCGCTTGGCTTCCTGGGGCTGGAGGCTAGGAGGGAGATCTGGCCGTCTGGTTGGGGTCTGGGGTGGTGGGTTGCGTTGGACGGGGGAGCCTGCTCATCAGCACCCCAGCAGAAAGGGTCAAACTCTGGGAACCAGTAATGGTTGTACCCCATGTGCAGCAGTACCGGGACCAGAGTGAATAGGGTGTGTATGGGGAGCATGAGTGGGTGTCCGGCGTGCATTTTTGTAAGTCTTTGGTTGTATGTGTATGTGTGAGCATGAGGGAGGGAGTGTGTGACTGTGTTTGTGTATGACTGTATATGTCAGGTGGGGCCTTTGACTCCTCCCTTCTCCTGGGACTTCTTTTGATGCTATACATCTTCGTCTCGCCTGCCACACCTGGCATGGAGTGTGGTGCCTTGGTCTGCCTGAGTGTTCATGGCATCCCAGGTCAGGGGGTTTAAGATTATTGGCATCTGCCTGATCAATCCTGGTGGCTGCTTGGTGGGATCTGGGTCCCTGGGCTCTGCTGGGTCCCCGGTGGGGGTGGTCTCCCCTGGGTCCCGGGTTGCTGGGTCCCAGGTTGCTGGGTCCCGGGCTTGGCCCGCTGGGGGGTGGGAGGCTGTGGGCGGGCCTGTGGGCTTGCCGATGATATCTCCCAGGGCAAGCCGGCTGCTGGTTGTGGCCCCCCGGGGCAATCCTCTGCGCCTCTCGAGGGGGACAGGGGCTTTTTTGGTCGCAGTCTCCTTGGGGTCCCTATGCTCTGGGGCAGCTCCTGCATCTCTGAGACTTGGCGCAACCTCCATCTCCAACACATCTTTGGGGGCAGATCTGTGGCCCTTCACACTCTATTGGACGCTCCTATAGAGAAACCTTGCATATACAAGCGTGTGTACACACACAGGTGCTCACATGGTGCTCTCATAAGGATGGGCTTGGGCACGTTCAACACATGTCTTAAGGCTGTGGTTGGCACTAAATGCACTGTGATTTATTATCGTGCGATTCTTCAATAAAACAATGTTGATTTTATATTTCTTCATCAAGTTGACACGGTGATAGCTTGCTCCTGTTCTATTGTTGTGTGTCCCTTTTCTGCAGGTCTAGAAGCAGACTCTTGTTCATCAGTGATTGTTTATTTTTGTGGAAACCCCCCTTTTCTTTAAGGATCTGTAAATGGGTCTCTAACTTCATGTTCAAACGCAAGCTCTGCAGGGCAAAGCCTAGTTATTCCTACATGGCTTCACTCACAGAAAACTAGAGGGACAACTTCATCCCAATACCTGCTGGTTTTTATATAGAACTTGTTCAACATGGACTGTAAAGTCTGATGAAACTTTTCAATCGCACCCTGACTTAGAGGATGGCATGTGCTTGAAATGAGGCATTCTACCCCTCATGTAATTACCAAATGTGCAAAATCTCTAGACATGAAGTTCCCTTGTCTGTTTGAATTACTCTGGGAAGACCAAACAATAAAAATAAGTTTGTTAGCTTTCTAATGGTCACAGGAGCTGCAATTCTTCTCAAA